TGCATCTTTCAACCCCCTCCTAGTTAAAAAAAAGCATCCTTTCTCTCTCTCTCTCTCCCTCTCTTTCCTCCCACACTCTCTCACTCAGCTTTGCCCTCACACTCTCTCTTGCTTCTCCTCTCTCCCCCTTTTCTCCCTATTTCCTCTCTTCCCTCCCCCTCCTCCCTTTCTTCCTTCTTCCAGTGGAGTGAAGTTAATCAGCAGGAGGTGCTTGGGAGTAGCACAGCATTCTGCGGGGATGGGGGGTTGCTTTGACTTCCAGCTAGGGTGGTGGTGGGGAGGTGGTCTCTGGCTAGTCTGGAGCAGGAGTCCTGGCTGATATCCTCATCCTTACCCTGGGGACATTGAGGCCAGTCACTCACACTCTCACCCCTGCCTCTAGGTCAGAGGGTTGCGTGTTCACGGCTCTTATTGGGACGTCAAAAAGTCTACAAAAAAAGGCACAATACTTGCCAGGAATTACTGTGAAGTATTTAGAGACATTTTGAAGTCGGAAGATGCTACAAAGATTTAAGCTCTTTCTTCCTGTATTTGTGTTGCAGTCACTCCCAGTTTCAGGGAGATTTTGATCAGCTCTGCTTGTCCCGGCCAATGTGTGGCGTTCATCATCCCTGGCGCAGATTAGCTGCTGCGTTTTCCCAAACTACCCTTCAAGGTGACTCATTGTCTGAATCGCTGTGAGACATTACCCAGTGATGGGACATTCTATCAAATGGGGTGATTTTATTTAAACTTCGCATTGTAAAATCTCACTGCTGCCTCGGAAGAGGTGTTAAACCTGGCTCACCATCTGTGCTTGTTCAGGTGGGCATTAGAGATCCCACGGCGCTATTGGAAAAGAAGGGAGTTTCCTGACCGACAATCCCCCAGATAAAAAATTGGTCATTCACTTCCTGACTGTTTGTGGGGTGATGCTGGGTGCAAATTAGCTGCTGCGGTTGCCTACAAATACACAGTCACTACACTTCACAGTAAATAATTCTGTGAAGTGTTTAAGAGACCTTTCAACGTCTTTATCAAATTGAAGAACTGTCTGAATGAGATGCTCTAGTAACGATGACTATGTTCAGCCAAGGGGCGGGGACCTGGCCAGGGAGTCACTGTCTGCATGTCTCAGTGAAGCCAGCAGAGAGCATGCAGCATTCATAAATAACAATCCTGCCCTTTGATACAGCGCCTTTCATGTCAGGAGGGAGTCTCGGAGCACTTCACAGGATTGATTCACTGTAAAGTGTAGTGACTAGAGTAGGGATGGTAGCTGAGTATTGGGAACATATGCCAGCATGAACAGCCTCGGGTAACATCAAGAGGAAGTCCCTGTGCAGGCACCACCTCCACCTGCCATCACCTATTGCCTGAGAACCCGCCCTGGAAGTTCTGTCCCTCCCTCCCTCACACACCCAGGACAGCCTCTCACTGTCTGCCTGTCGTCTGCCTGTCTGACTGCCCACAATATCTCTGTTCCCAACAGTTAATGAGGTTATATGGTTTGCTCTTCCCATTTTTTCTTTTATTCTCTCCCCCCACCCCCCCGCTACCGTCCTCTCTGAACCAGCCTGATTGTGGAGTCCTGTAGCTCAGTGGTTAGACCTCTTGCCTCATAAGCGAGACACCTGGGTTCTATTTCTGGCTGTGCAAAATATTGGGCAAGTTTCCTTACTCTGTTTACCTAGCAGTAAGTAGGAACCCGGTTGTTAGTCGATTGGTGGATAGCTTTTCTGGAGATAATAATCCCTCCCAAAAAATAATAATAATTTGGTCACTCAATTTGGTCACAACTGTTTGTGGGACACTGCTGTTCGCAATTGGCTGCCGCGTTTCGCCTACAAATGTACAGTCAATTCACTTTACAGTCTATTCTGTGAAGTGCTTTGAGACGTCTAGAAGACGTGAAAAGTGCTATATCAAATGTAAGGATTATTTTATTATAACCCACCCTCTCCCAGTCTGGCACTCACAGCTGATGGTATTCTCAGCATATGCTTCTTACTGCCGCTGTTCCAGTCTGTGATCTTTAGAGTGCTTAAGACGTGGTCAGACTAGCGCGAGGCGTGTTGTATTGATTAGTACCTGCATGGCTCTTAGAGAAAGCTTTGATATTATCACGTTTTATTTCTGACGCCCCCCATTGTCTGGGAATTATTCCATACAGCGTAAGGAAACAGGTCATTCGGCCCATCTAGCCCCCATGTGTGGTATTGGGGGAGAGGGAAAGGCGCTGTCAAGGATTGGGGGTAAAATTATAAGAGGTGGAATGAACTGTCCAGAATAGAAAATCTGATCTCAGCCCCAAATCCAGGGGAACTCGGAACCTGCCGGTAAGCACTAAAGGCTTCCCTCGTCACAGGGCCACCAACAGAACATGGCGAGGCCATCCAAACCAGGGGAGTAACTCGCAAGATATTAGCAGCTCGTCCCTGGGAGGGTTTGTGGGGCCACAGCACGTTCTGGAGGAAGTGGGGGCTCTGTTCTGATTAATAACCCCCCCCCCCACCCCATTGTTACAGTTTTATGTCATGTGTCCATCTCCACCCACCCCCTTGCAACCCTGTCCCCTCTGAGCTCACATTCTTTATGTTGTCTGTGTTGAGGTTTGAGAATTTCGGCTTGTCTGGGGAGAGGGTTCATGTTGTGGGGAATTCTGTTTGCACTAAAGCCGGATGGTGGAACAATGCTGATGTTGTGACTAATTTAGTAACTACAATAAAAAGCTGCACTGAGCAGATTGCCCTGATTTTGTTTAAAACCTGTGCAGCCCTGGTGCTGCTGTGTAGCTGTGCAAACCTTATTTTAGTCAAGGAGAAAGAGGAGGAAAAAAACACCTTATTACTTCGAACTGCTGCGAGCCATTTCAGTCTCTAAAGGTTTTGGGTTGCCTGGGGCCATGTGTCTGCAGTGTTTCGGGAAATAACTTGCCTTCGCACGAACGCTGCTGTGTTGTGTAGCGCTGTTTGCCCCCCAGCATCCCCGCTCGCTCCATCTCCCTTAACCCTTTGCTTCCTCACCCACCTCGCCTCCTCTCAGACAGGAACAGCACTGGTCCAGCGCTGAGCAGACAGAAAGTGGCCAATTTAAAACAAAATCTAAATGTAAAGCGTTCCCAGAGGTCCACTGAGTAATCACAGCACACTCAGGCCTTTCCCTGCCTGGCCATTGAAATGATCATCAAGAAATGATCTGTTACTTGAGGGGCGGAGGGTGTATGTGTGTCTTTGTGCATGTGAATGAATGTGTGTACGTTTGTGTGTTTGTGAGTGTGTGTGTATTTGTGTCTGAATAGATGTAGATAAAATGTTATTTCCTGTGCAGAGCAGCGTTTCTAGCTTCTCAGACCTCAGTCAAATCTGAAAATCTGAGCTCTTCCAACACAAACAGACTCAAACTGATGGTGATACAGAGTTATGCCCACCTTCCCTCCCACCTTGCTCATCCTGCACGCTTTGTGTGTACACTCTGGGGTTAGGGCTGTGTGTGTACTCAGTGGGGATAGGGTTGTGTGGTTAGGGCTGTGTGTACAGGCCTGGGGTTAGGGTGCAGTGAGAGTCTGTGCCTGGGGTTAGGGTGCAGTGAGCTAGCTGCCTGTGAGTGAGTGAGCTCAGACTGTTTGGGGCCGGTGGAGTGTGTGAGATTTCATTTTGGGCNAAAAATTAAATTCTTTCACAAACTACCGCCTGCCGCGCCCAGCCTGGCAGCTGATCAAACGGTGGAAACACCATCTGCCCCTGAGCCTGAGCCAAGCCCGTTCCTCCCTCCCGGCCCAGGCTGCCCGAGGGGGAATCCACAACCAGATACTCTTTGAGAAACAGCTCTGAGAACAGTCATGTGTGTGCCTGTGTGAGAGAGAGAGGACGTGTAGGTGAGAACATTGACGTGTGTGAGGATTTGTGTGTGAGAGGATGTGAGTGTAAGTGAATGCACAGGTGAGCATATTTTATAAGAAAAGCTTCAAACAATAGGAAAAGGGCAGTGGGAGTTAGTTGGGAATTGGGAGAAGCTGGAGTGAGTAACGTGTGGGAGCGCTGGCACACTCCCTTAGGCCAGTTTTTGTTTTCTTTTTCTCTCTCTGTTCAGCTCACTAATTTGTTACTATGGCTACAGACAATATTGGCCTTTGTTTGGCTTGGATACAGAAAGGTGCCCTCCCTCTTACACACACACCAGTAGCTGAGCTTTGGAGGGTCAGGACCGCCCTCTCCCGCCCCCAGTTTTGTCGTCTATTCTTTCTCGCTTTCCTGAAGTCCCATCTTGCTCCGTGGCCTTGTCTTGTCTGCCTGGTGACGTTTGCAGATACAGGGTTTATTGTGAGACACTGTAGCCGGAGGTCCAGCTCACAGTCAGGACTGATGCCCCAGTGCAGTCCTGGGGTGGGTAGGGGGTGCGCTGGATTGTACCAGGTACTGTCCTCGGGGTGAAGCGTTAAACTGAGTCACATTGTTCAAGTGGGCGTTAATGATCCCACGGCGCTACTGAACAAGGGAAGTTTCTCTCTCTCTCCCAGTGAAGCTGGCTGACAATCCCTCAGATAATGAAAATTGCTCGTTCACTTCAAGCCTGGGGGTGGGGTCTTGTAGCCAAACTGTCTGCTTCTCGAGTTCAGTATTGTTGTGGTAAACATGGTTCTTTACATGTGGGGGGATTTGCCAGCTCACAGGGCAGGACAGCCCCCTCTGACATGCTCCCCGTGTGAAGGGTTCTATGTCAATGTAAGTTGTTGTTATCATAAAATGCAGGAGCTTGATTCTCCGGTTGACCACAGCTGGAGCGGAGCCGTCACAAAGCACTGTCCTGGGCCGGGCTGACAAACTGCTGCCGTCAATCTGAGCTCCCAGAGAGCGCGCGGGACTTTGGCGAGCTGTCGGGTTGGGCTCCACAATAGCAGGCGGTGGAGGTGTGAGAAATACCCAACACGTGCTGTGAAAGGACAATGGACGACTTGAGTAGTTTTGAGGACTAACCCAGCTTTGCTGTAAGTACTGATTGTGTGTGTCTGATCCCCACAGAACGCTGCCTCCACACCAGGGCTTCAGGCTGGACCCGGGGCCTCGGCTGGCCGTCAGTACACCCGCCAGCGAGTTACACGCGTGAACCTCAGGGACTTAATCTTCTACATGGAACAGGAGCCAGAGACGTCCCACTCGCTCACACTGTACCGAGCTCTGCTGAAATGAGGGGCAGGAGAGCTACCTGCACCCCCACCTCCAGCCTGTGCCTTTTTAATCTTTATTCATTTAGTTACAAAACATGTTTACTCTCATCATACCTCATCTTTTATAACTTTAGATACCTCCAACTGATCGTCCACACCCAGTGTTTAATCATCATTTGTGTCAGATCTCACGTTTGTGAGAGGGGGGTTGTGGGGGGGCTGCCCCCTACCCTCACATGCCCCCAATATTCCTGTCGGAGTCTTGATGTTGATGTAAGTTTGCGGAGCAGCCCGTGCTCAGGACAAGGGAACGAACGACTGTAATTTGTTCTTTATTGTATTTGTATCTTTATTTAACGTTTTCTTTTATACGCTGACTGTCCAGTGTAACGTTCAGGGAGCTTTGCCGGGCGGTCCCATTGTCTTCCTGAGGTCGCTGGCTCTCACAGTCTCACCAGTGAGTATTTGGGGGGAGGAGAGGGATGGGGATGTAGAAGAACACCTTTAATTTGGAAGGTGGGTGGGGGAGGAAGACTAGCCCTCTGAGCTCCCCAGAGCTGTACTTTGCCATGAGAAAACAGCACCCTTTATTGCTGAGTGTGAAGTGGGCCTGACTATGTGAGGGACCTGGAAGCAGGTCAGACGCGTACTCACTGGCTCTCACCCCACGGGCTGGGCTGGGTCTCAGATTGACTCCTGGCTCCAGGTCTGAGCTGGGGGGGGGTGGGGGGGAGGGCAGGAGTCACAGGGGAGGGGAGAGTTGGGGGAGGGGCTGGGACAGAAACAAAGCACAAATGATTTCTCAATCAATTTTTAAAAAAGTTTTAATTTTTTATGGTTCTTAAAGAACGAGCAAAAGTATATTTGCACTTGATCTGCTGCCAAACTCTTATTTAAGACGGTGTTTTATGTGAACAGGCGAGCGAGTGATCATGTAGGAAAGAAAGGAGATGGTTTTTAAGTGTCTCGCTAATGTGTACATAGTGTTTACAAAGCCCGCTGGTTATTAGAATGACCTTATTTTTGGTAACGAAACTCTGTACATACGGTCCAGCTGGGACTGCAGCACCGCGACTACAGAAACTCGCGACTTTGTACTTATTTTGTAAAGAAGTAAAAGCGTCTGTTTTATTAAACTTTCCCGCGATCTCCGCCGTCTGCTTCCATCAGTATGTTGGAGCGGGAGGGGGGGGGGGCGGTGTTGGGAAGGGTTGAGGCTCAACATGGTTTCTCTCCCCCTACCCTCCCGGAATTACTAGAGTGATGTCAATGTAGCCCTGAGAGAGGCCATAACCCCAACCCAGCCAACATGGAGCAGACAGAGCGCGAGTGTAAATAGGCTGGGGTTTGGTTAGTGCACAGTGAGACTGACTGGCTGGTTAGCACATGGTGAGCACACGTTAGCACACAATTACTGTGCAGCTGTGTGTGTGTGCGGGAGAGCACAGCTGTAACACAAACACCTGGGAGATTGCAGGTAAACATTTTATTTTTAATTTTTTTCATTTTAAAAAAGTGACTTAACTTTCTCTTCAGTGTTTATTAATCATATGAGAGTCGGTCGCTCAGTGCAGCTGTGGCCACAACGGCTCCGGTGATGGGGACCTGGTGTTTCTTGGTCACCTCTGGCTGTGGCTGAGTGGAGGTTGTGGAGAGAGGAGGGAGTCGTACACTCTGTTATTACAAGGAGCTGTGAGCAGCCCCTCCCTGACACTGATGGGGTCAGGCCTTCACCACTGCAATGGGTTTGACGCCCACAGTGAACAGAGGGGTGGCTGATCAGAAGCCAAAGTGAAGTTAGCCCAGGCTGGTCCTGCACAATATTCCCCCGGCCAGCCTGACCCTCCCCCCCACCCGTCCATCACGACCCAAGAGGTGGGGGCGACTGACCCCCGGGAGGTGGGGAGGTTCACGTTCATTCCTGGCTGAAAGTCATCCTGCTATTTACAGTTTAAATTAAAATGACTTGAATCTTCAAACTTCAACATTTTCACTTTAGGCTTTTAAAAAAATGTAAAACGTTTTCTAAATCTGTTTCGTCCAAATTCAGCGAGTTGTGCTGGGGGGGTGGTGGGGGGAGGGAGTGCGGGGGTGTGGGGGAGGAGGGGAGGGGGCTGGACACAGCCACACCGCACCTTAAGAGCCACTGTTTCCAAAGTAGACCAGCATCTCCACAAGTCCCTCTCTGGCAGTTCCTCTCTGGCTGGCTCAGGTCCCGCTGGTGTCCATTCCCCGTGGGGCAAGTCATGGCGTCAGGCCTGAATGTCCCTCTCGGTGCCGGTGCGAAGCCAAGTCCAGTAACGGAATCAAAACGCCAATAAAATAAAAAACGGAGTGATTGTGGCGGGTGGGCTTCAGCGCCCTAGTCCAGTGGCTCCTGCTTTATCCTGACGGGGGTGGGTGTGAGCTGTAGGCGTCTGTCCTGACGGTGAAGCATGTACTCGCTGAACTGCGAGGAGTCCACTCCCCCACCGCAGGAACCCACCACGCTGAATCCCTTCTGTAGTAACCGTTCCAGCACCTGCTCGGGAAAGAGACACAATAATCAGACAGTGAACTCACTCCTGCTTCCCACTGCATTCTCCCCCCGCCCCCCACTCAGCAGTCTGCATTAAGCACAGGTACAGAAGCCTCCTCTGCCCATAGATCTCATCCTTCTCTATTCCTTGACTCCTGTCTTTCCCTGACAGCATAGATGTGTAGAGGGAGCTTTACTGTGTCTCTAACGCTGACCTGGGAGTGTGGATGGCCCATTACCTGCACGGAGTTGAGTCTGCAGTAACCATTCAGAGGGAACCTGATGACGTGAGTCGGGTCCTGGTTCCAGCCTGCGTTCACCGAGTTACACATCACGTCTCCGGTCTCGGGGAAGATGTCCTCTATTAGCGACTTCTCTCCGCTCAGCGTGATGCGCTCACCCAAGTCAGGCGTCACTCTGACCACCACACAGTCACAGGGCTGTGAGAACTTGCGGAACTCCCGGTCCTGTTTCCACCGCTCCAGCTCCTTCAGCATGGGCTGCAGCTGGTAATACTTTGCCTCCTCGTACAACAGGCTGAAATCCTGCAAAGCCACAGTACATTACTTGCTCTATCTCATGCATGAGCTGTCCCCCTCCCCCACCCTCTGGCACCCGCTGGGAAACCAGGAATTTTCCAGGAAATAGTTTTCCTATGCATTGAATTATTGTTTGCCTCCTTTGGGAACAGACTGCAGGTCACTGGGAGCTATAATGAGGGTAAGTTGAATGTGTGGGGGGTCGGGAGGGAGATATTGTCGCTAAGCTGCTGGGGATCTATGTTCCTGACCTCAACGGATGAACACAAGAAAGTTGCTCACAGGGAAAGGCTTTGTTCGAGCCTTTCACAGAGAAACTCTCCTGTCCTCCTTGGAGGAGAGGTAAACAGGGTGGAGGTCTCCTTGGAGCTGAATTGGCTCCAAGGTGACATATTTGGCAACGGAATTTCGGAATCGAGCCCACTCCCTGTGATGGTCTCTAGTCTGGTTCCTGAGCCAGGTGTGTGCGCAGTATTCCAGGACATTGCTGATGACAGTACAGCCCAGTCTGGTTCTTCGGCTGGACTTACTTTCTGGAATTAGGTAAGCGGGATGCATATCTCTGGGATTTCCATGTGTTGGTGGGATGTATGGAAATCTTAGCTTGGTTTGGAGACTCTGAAGCACAGCGATGGGTTTCCGCATGTGTTAGACATCCGGCTGAGCAAAAAACAAGACCGAGCCCACTTAGTCCACAGCTGGCGTTCGCAGGCAGCCTCCCCATGGACACTTGTGGAACACCTGGGACATTCCCAATTCTTTCTCTCACCTTGAAATCCTCCGGGAGCAGCAGCTTGGATGTTCGGAGGAAGCTGAGAATGTAGCGGAAGATCTCACCATCTCGGTCAATGAAGTAATGCTGCTTCAGGCTGTCCAGCACAATGGGTTCCGTGCCATTAAACAGGCGCCCGATCCTGAGGGACACAATGTCAGAGGTGTCAGTGCACACAGCAGCTTCATGTTACTTTCTACAGCATTGTAAAAACCACAGCACTCAATGCATCGTGTCCGTGCTGGTGATCGCTCCCCACTGTTGCTCTCTACTCTAATCCCATTCCCTGCTTTCTCCCCATCATAACTATGCTCGCTCCCCACTGGAACTCTACTGCAGTCCAATTTCCTTTTTAATGATATTATGGTCACTTTCAACAGCCGCTTACTGCAAAGAGTTCCATGTACTAATAACCCTCTGAGAATTTTTCTTTAAAACTTTCCCCTTAGATGCCGGCCTGGCTCACTCAATCAACCATCTTCTCTGAGCCAGAAGCCCTGTGTTAGGACTCAAGTTTACAGTCTAGGCTGATGCTCAAGTGCTGAACTGGAGGATCGCTGCATTTTCAGAGGTGCCATCCTTCAAATGAAAGTCTGTCTGCCTGTTTAGGTGGACGTTAAAGATCCCAACTCTGCTGGAAGAGCGACGGGAGTTTATCAGTGTCCCTCCCAACAATCTTGAACTTTGCTGCATGTAAAATGGCAGCTGTGTTTACCTATATAAAAGATCATTGTACACTTGACAGAAATTCCCCTTGAGAGATTTTTCAGGTTACAAACCTTGGGACATCCAATATGAAAGGCGCTATACAAATGTTTTTTGTTGTTGTTATAAAACCTAAAGTTCTTTAACACTTCCAGAGACAACCCTGATCTTGTAACCCTTTTTTCAATAATCTTTCTCTGGATTCTGACAAATTGTCTCAGAATATTAATCTGGGAGCTACCCTGCGGGAGGGGTGCTATATGAATGCAAGTTGTTGTTGCTGTTGTAGTTGTTGTTGTTAAAGATCTACCGTTGGATTCCCCTCAGCCTTCTCTGTTCCATTTCTTTGATGGGTCCTCAGATTAACACCCCTCACCCCAGGATCACCAATACCATTCCTGGTTCTTCCTCACACAGCGGTTTGGGATTTAGTCTGGCACAGCAGGAGTTAACTCACAGCCTCTTGATCTCTGCACTCGGGGCTTTTATTTTACAAGCAATCCTGCCTGGCCACAGAACATTTCTCCAGAGATAGAGGCTCTGAGAATCGATGCAAAACGATTTACAGAATCAATAATCAGCCCCCTGTCTGCCTGAGGTATTAACCGCAGCCTTTTTACTGCTTTACTCTCAGCGAAACCGGATCCAATAATAGGCAGTTACAATGTAACAGTGTCGGTGCTACAGTGACAGTGTTACAATGTGTCAGTGTCAGGGCTACAGTGTGACAGTGTCAGTGTTACAATGTGTCAGTGTCAGGGCTACAGTGTGACAGTGTCAGTGTTACAATGTGTCAGTGTCAGGGCTACAGTGTGACAGTGTCAGTGTTACAATGTGTCAGTGTCAGGGCTACAGTGTGTCAGTGTCAGTGTTACAATGTGTCAGTGTCAGGGCTACAGTGTGACAGTGTCAGTGTTACAATGTGTCCGTGTCAGGGCTACAATGTAACAGTGTCGGTGTCATGGCTAAGAATGTATTGGTATCAGGATTACAATGCAACAGCGTGAGAGCTATGATACATTCACTCTGTGTGGAGCTAAACTGCCACAACTGGGGCAGGGAAACAGTCAGACTGGGTTCCTCACCTCAGTGCGTGTTCTTCAGCTGTGTGACAGTGCATTTTGTTCACTAGAAGTGAGAAGGATTAATCTGCAGCAATGTGAAGCCTCTGATATGTTCTTGAAACTGACTCCCATCTGATTCAATGCCATTCTTGGAAGTGCAACCACACGGTATGTTTCACATTGTAATTGTTACTGATTGTCACAGTGCTGGCGGCTGCTCTTACCTGGAGTCGGGGTATCTGGTGAGGGTGGCCAGGCTGCTGGTGTACATGTGGCCTCCAACATCAATGTGAACCGGGGCGTTGGACTTGGTGAGCTGTGCTGGTGAAGGGATGCCCTGAGAGACCACGGGAGAGACAGGAGAGCGTGTCAGAGACAGCCTGGACATGGTTCTTCCTTCCTAAGATAGAAACACACCCACAACAATAAATAAAAACCTAAATAAACCAGGCGGGCTCTCCGACTAGTGACTGTGGGGTAGAGAAGAGGGTTATAATTGGGGCTGGTGAATGTGATCGCTGGGAACTTTCTGACTGAAGAGGTGTTGATAAAGCTTGGACATGTTCTGGTACCATGTGAGGAATCCTGTTCAACATGTGAGCACCCAGAGCCTGGCTGAGCAGTCAGTGCTTCTTAGAACAAACAGTAAAGAGTCCTATAGCATAGGTTAGCACACTTGCCTCATGAGCAAGAGGACCTGGGTTTGATTCCCGGGCAGGGTGAAACCTTAGTTTCCTTACTCTATTTACCTAGCAATATGTAGGAATCTGGTTGTTAGTCAATCGGCAGATCGCTTTGTGTGGGTAATCCTTCAAAAAAAATAATAATAATTTGGTCACTCAATCCAGGACTTTGTGAGACACTGCTGTGTACAACTGCCTGCCACATTTCACCCACTAAATACAGTCAATTCACTTTACAATATATGTAGCATCTTGCGATGTCTCAATGACATCATAAGGCACTATATCAAATGCAAGGATTATTATTATTGGATTATTATTATGATTAAAGACACTGGGACAGCCCTGGCCGTAATTCAGAGCATTTGCATCCAGTTGTTTCAGGGACAAACACCAGAGGAAAGATATTATTGACACAGTCTCTGAGCATGGGGGGTGGGGGGGGGGATGCCTGCTGTGAGTAATGTGCGTCTCTGTCGCTCTGTGTGGAGCTAAACTGCCACAACTGGGGCGGGGAAACGATCAGACTGGGTTCCTCACCTCAGCACGTGTTCTTCAGGTGTGTGACGATGCCTTTTGTTCACTATAAGTGAGAAGGATTAAGCTATGTAGCAATGTGAAGCCTCTCATACATGCTTGAAACTGACTCCCATCTGATTCGATGCCATTCTCAGAATTGCAAGCACACGGTATGTTTTACATTAAAAATAACCTCCATCTTTCTGTGACCTGCTGATGTGAACTTTTGACTATTTAATCCCTCTCCAGCTCTCAATTTCAGAACATCCAAATACAATATCCAGATTTGCAAGTTATCACATCTGGTCAGACGGTGGGGAGAGTATTTTAAACACACTCATCTCCCCCACCCACCCCAAATCATCCCTCTTTCCCCCCTGCCCCAACCCCCCAACTCACTGCACTCAATGTTCCAATGTTAGCAGCAGTGTTACTATTTCTCCACTATTCCCAATCTCTGGGGAGCGAGTACACTGTATGCAGTGTTACTCCTGTTGAAGGATTGCTGGCAGGTCCAAGGCTACATCATTTAGGTTGATTTCCCGGCGGTGATAATAACATCCCCAACCAAGCAGGGATTTGCATCTCGATTTCTTCTTCACAAATGTTTGCAATGTGTCTGGCCGGTGGGGGAGTTGTGGGTGGGGTCACAGAGAACAAAAAGCACTATTCATCAGCAGGCAGGGCACAGACTGAGAGATACACACACCCAGCATCCTGCCCACAGTACAAAATCCAATCACTTTTCCTTAAACATAACACATACAAGGTGACTTCCTGCAGAGTCAGGGCTGTGTAGCTCCTGTCCTGTGTTTGTGTTGCCCTCTCCTCCCCTCCCTCCCCCCAGCTCTAGCTTCTCTGGTTTTAACCATAAAAGGTAAAGGAAGCTGATGCCATCCAGGCTGTGGCCTTGGGCTGCCTGTCTGCCTGCAGCACAGAACTAGAGAGACAGCTTCTCGTAGGATCACATCTCCCAGCAACACAGCCTTGGGCATTTCTCTGCTGTGAACCTCAGACACTCGCTCACTAGGAAATGTTTCTCTCAGAAGCTTCTAAAGTTTGGGGATATTTGAATCTATTGCCTATCGATCCCCAGGGCTCTGGGCCAATGGCGACCAGCAAACAACAACAACAACTTGCATTTATATCGCGCCCCTCACATGGCAGTGTTCCAGACCAGCACTGCTGCTGCTGATGTTGGGGAATGAGAGATCAGTTGCTAACTCACACAGATGGAAAGTCACTAAACCAGCCTTTTCTGTTTCTCACAACCAGACAACACAATGATTTAACTATCACTGAACTAGATTGTCTTTTAACTTTATCAAATCAAATCTTCCCTCCTTCACTCCTCAAGACCCTAACTCACAGCAGGACAGGCTCTGGCACTGACTGATGCTGGCAATTTGAATCCTGACATTTCATCATTTCCCTCTTGTGATTTGTTCCTACAGCAGCACCCTGACTCCTGTTCTCATGGGTGAACCACCTGTGTGTCATGTGGTGCAGTAAAGCTCCCTCTATAGTCCACACTCCCAGGTCATGGTAGAGACAGTAAAACTCCCTCAACACTGTCCAACCACACATCCAGGTCAGGTTGGAATTTGATGTGGACTTTCCTGGATGCTCTCTGGGTGAGACACTAATGTGTCTCGATCTGTTGATCTGTTCCTCACCCAGATCCCTTGCCTGAGGGGCGGGAAATTGCTGAGTCCCTCCCGCTCCACACCCAACCTGACCCAGGACAGGGGGGCCCGGTGTCTGCGCTCGGGATGATGTGTGTCTCCCCACTGCTAACGAGCTGAGCAGCTGAGTGGGGCCATCAGTGCTCTCAGGCTCCCACACAACGTTTATAATCACACGTGCCCGATGGCCTTGAGTTTACTCGACCTCTGGCTGGTAAATGGTTCACTCTTAGTACACACACACGTACAGGTGCACACGCACATGCACAAGTACACACGCAGGCACACACACTGTCAAAGAGAGACACACATACATACGTACAGAGACATACTCATATCACAGTCACAAAGAGAGACACAGACAGAGAGCGAGAGAAAGACACACGTACATCTGTACACAGTCTGTAACTAGTCACTGAATGGCGAATAGTGTGTAAATGTCCCTGAATCTGATTTGGCCGCTACCTTTCCTTTTAAACTTTTTGTCACTTATTAACAGCCAGAAACCGCGGGCTCCACACTTGTAAAATTATAATTTAAAAAGAAACTTCTATCTCCCCCCCAGTGTCTATATGTGTGCATCTATGTGAGTTTGTTTCTGTCTGTCTGTCTGTCTGTCTGTGCTTCGGGACGCTACCCGTGTGAAATGTGTTATCTAATGCAAGTTGTTATTGTGTGTATGTCTGTGTGTGTGTGTGTGTGGGGGGGGGGTGTCTATCTGTGTGTTTGTGTGTGTCTGGGTCTCTGTGTTGGGGGGAATAACTAATCCTTGGGGCACAATAGCGAGACCTCCCCAAACTGCCAACATGGCGAGGTTTACAGTTGCCTGGAGAAAAGCTGATTGTAGGAATAACCATCGCGATGGGAATTTAGCACCGAATCCGCTCTGGGCTGTGCTCTGTGGCGCCACTGCTCGCTCCCGAGAGCAGCTTACACTCTCCTCCCTCTGTCTATCCCTCCCTGTGTCTGTCTCCCTCCCTCTCTGTTCCTCTCTCTCTCTCTCTCTGTGTCCCTCTCTATGTGTCCCTCTCGCTCGATCCCTCCGTATCCCTCTCTCCCTCTCTCTGTCTGTCTCCTCTCTGTTCCTCTCAATGTCTCCCTCTGTGTCACTTACACTTTCCAAAGGACTCTGTTCCCGCAACCAAAAGTATTTAAAAGCATCGTAAGTCCAAGGCTGAATAGAAGATGCGGAGAGAACCCCTCCCCCCCCCCCCCCACACACACAGATACACACACACACACAGATACACACACACACAGATACACACACACAGATACACACACACAGATACACACACACAGATACACACACATACCGAAACACAAACACACACACAGAGTCTGTCACACACACACAGACCAGGAGGCGCTGCTTACAGTGAACATGGACTCAGCGCCTCTCTTTCCCTCTCTCTCGTCTCCGGATTCCTTCTCTTCAGGAAAGGCAGCGGCGCCGATTGTGAAAAATCCCAGTCTTTTCCTCTCTGTCTGTCCTGTCTGTCTCTGTCTCGGTGCCTGTGTCTGTCTCTGTCTCTGTCTGGGTGTCTGGCCGTCTGTCGCTGTGTTTAGATGCAGATGCGAGTTGAGTTGTTGCAGAAGAGAAACCAATAATCCGTCCGTAATCAGCCTGGAGGAGGAGGAGGAGGAGGAGGAGGGAGGGTTGCTGAAGGCTGGGGTGCCTCGGGCCAGGGATTAGGGTGTAATTAGCTGGTCTCCCTCCCGCCCTGGGGAAGCTTCGCCAGGAACCATTTGAAAGAATATTTTTCTCTTTTTTTCGCTCGACTGTGAGGCAGTCTGAGAGCCGCTGGTGACAGGATTTCTCCCTGTTTCTCCCTTTCTCTTGTCTTCTTGTTGTGAAAATCCTGATAACGGTTCTGTATGTGTGTGTGTCTGTATCTCTCTCTCTCTCTTTCCCAGTCACTGTATGTGTGTGTCTCTCTCTCTCCCAGTCACTGTATGTGTGTCTCTCTCTCCCAGTCACTGTATGTGTGTCTCTCTCTCCCAGTCACTGTATGTGTGTCTCTCTCTCCCAGTCACTGTATGTGTGTCTCTCTCTCCCAGTCACTGTATGTGTGTGTCTCTCTCCCAGTCACTGTATGTGTGTGTCTCTCTCTCTCCCAGTCACTGTATGTGTCTCTCTCTCAGTCACTGTATATGTGTATCTCTCTCCCAGTCACTGTATGTGTGTGTCTCCCTCTCTCCCAGTCACTGTATGTGTCTCTCTTTCTGTCACTGTATATGTGTATCTCTCTCCCAGTCACTGTATGTGTGTGTCTCTGTCTCCCAGTCACTGTATGTGTGTGTCTCTCTCCCAGTCACTGTATGTGTCTCTCTCTCCCAGTCACTGTATGTGTGTGTCTCTCTCTCCCAGTCACTGTATGTGTCTCTCTCTCTCTCTCCCAGTCACTGTATGTGTGTGTCTCTCTCCCAGTCACTGTATGTGTGTCTCTCTCTCCCAGTCACTGTATGTGTCTCTCTCTCTCTCCCAGTCACTGTATGTGTGTGTCTCTCTCTCCCAGTCACTGTATGTGTCTCTCTCTCTCTCCCAGTCACTATATGTGTGTGTGTGTGTGTGTCTCCCAGTCACTATGTGTGTGTGTGTGTCTCTCTCCCAGTCACTGTATGTTTGTGTGTGTCTCTCTCCCAGTCACTGTATGTATGTGTCTCTCTCTCCCAGTCACTGTATGTGTGTGTCTCTCTCTCTCCCAGTCACTGTATGTGTGTGTCTCTCTCCCAGTCACTGTATGTGTGTGTCTCTCTCTCTCCCAGTCACTGTATGTGTGTGTGTCTCTCTCTCTCCCAGTCACTGTATGTGTGTGTGTCTCTCTCTCCCAGTCACTGTATGTGTGTGTCTCTCTCTCCCAGTCACTGTATGTGTGTCTCTCTCTCTCCCCCAGTCACTGTGTGTGTGTGTCTCTCTCCCCCAGTCACTGTGTGTGTGTGTCTCTCTCCCCCAGTCACTGTATGTGTGTGTCTCTCTCCCCCAGTCACTGTATGTGTCTCTCTCTCTCTCCCAGTCACTATATGTGTGTGTGTCTCTCTCCCAGTCACTGTATGTGTGTGTCTCTCTCCCCCAGTCACTGTGTGTGTGTGTCTCTCTCCCCCAGTCACTGTGTGTGTGTCTCTCTCCCAGTCACTGTATGTCTCTCTCTCTCTCTCCTGGTCACTCTGTGTGTGTGTGAATAACGGTTTAATAACAGCGCGGGATCAGGCTCTCACGTCTCTCTCACTACATTTACCCCAAAAGCTGATTTTAATCATTGTCAGAGCGTCTGATGGAATATTCCCTTAGGCAGAAATTTCAGTTCTTCAAATAAGTAACCCAGGGCACGTCCACCCCCTTTCCCTCTCTCCATCATTCCCTCTCCCTCACTCCACCCTCCCTCTCTCCACCCCTCATTGTGAATACAGCAATGTCCTGGTACTTGTTGATAAAAGCAAATGCATTTTTTTGGACCCTCTCCTCACACGCACACTCTCCCTCTTCTCTCCCCCCCCAACCCCACATACAATCTCACTCTCTCTCACCCCCTCCTCTCTCTCCCTCTTTCCTCTTCTCTCTCTCTCTCCCCTCGTGTCCGTTGTCTGTAAAAGCCGATTCTCTGCGGCCATTAAGCCCAGTGACGAGCATTGCCTGTGCAGAAAGCCTCGCAACTCGCTGGGGGCTAAAGGCGCCATTTCAATTCTCACGAACCGAGAGATGGTTTGTTTGTCTACTCAGGTCTCAGCTCCGCAGGCGCTTGGCCTGGATTGTGGGTGTGTGTGTGAGGGATTGTGTGTGTGTGTGAGGGATAGCTGTGTGTGTGTGAGAGAGAGAGAGGGAGGGATAGCTGTGTGTGTGTGAGAGAGAGAGAGGGAGGGATAGCTGTGTGTGTGTGAGAGAGAGAGAGAGGGATAGCTGTGTGTGAGAGAGGGATAGCTGTGTGTGTGAGAGAGAGAGAGAGAGAGAGAGGAATAGCTGTGTGTGTGTGAGAGAGAGAGAGAGGAATAGCTGTGTGTGTGTGTGAGGGATAGCTGTGTGTGTGTGAGAGAGAGAGAGGGAGGGATAGCTGTGTGTGTGTGAGAGAGAGAGAGGGAGGGATAGCTGTGTGTGTGAGAGAGGGATAGCTGTGTGTGTGAGAGAGAGAGAGAGAGAGAGGGATAGCTGTGTGTGTGAGAGAGGGATAGCTGTGTGTGTGAGAGAGGGATAGCTGTGTGTGTGTGTGTGTGTGAGAGAGAGAGAGAGAGAGAGGGATAGCTGTGTGTGTGAGAGAGGGATAGCTGTGTGTGTGTGAGAGAGAGAGGGATAGCTGTGTGTGTGTGTGAGAGAGAGGGACAGCTGTGTGTGTGTGAGAGAGAGAGGGATAGCTGTGTGTGTGTGAGAGAGGGATAGCTGTGTGTGTGTGAGAGAGAGGGATAGCTGTGTGTGTGTGAGAGAGAGAGGGATAGCTGTGTGTGTGTGAGAGAGAGAGAGGGATAGCTGTGTGTGTGTGTGAGAGAGGAATAGCTGTGTGTGTGTGAGAGAGAGAGAGAGAGAGAGAGGGATAGCTGTGTGTGTGTGAGAGAGAGAGGGATAGCTGTGGGTGTGTGTGTGTGAGGGATTGTGTGTGTGTGGGATTGTGTGTGTGAGGGATAGCTGTGTGTGTGTGGGATTGTGTGTGTGAGGGATAGCTGTGGGTGTGTGTGTGTGAGAGGGATAGTTGTGTGTGTAAGGGATAGCTGTGTGTGTATATGTATATGTGAGGGATAGCTATGGGTGAAGGATAGCTGTGTGTGTGTGTGAGAGGGATAGATGTGTTTGTGTGAGGGATATCCTTGGGTGAAGGATAGCTGTGTGTGAGAGGGATAGCTGTGTGTGTGAGAGAGAGAGAGAGATAGAGAGGGGAAACAACACAATAGTTCACAGCAACTTTGTATATTTACAAATGTACAAAGTAAAAAAAATTGTAAAAACTATAATTGCAACCACTGGAGTATATATCTGCCTGTGTGTCTGTGCCCGCTGTGTGTCTGTGTGGCCACGGTATGACTGTTTGTGTCTGTGTTCCCAGTGTCTGCACCGTTGTTCTTGCCTTTTGATGGGATAAAATGAAGGAAAAAGAATTGATGGGATGAGATCCTCAACATTTGAAACTCCAACATTCCTTCACTTTTTAACATTGAGCTTTGGCGCCAACTAACGGCAACCTCCTGAACCGCTCTGTGACATTGCTGAATTGCCTCTCGCTCAATAAATTAACACTAATTCCTAAAATAATAATAATCCTTGCATTTGATGCAGCGCCTTATCAAGTCTTCAAGACGTCTCAAAGCGCTTCACAGGATACACTGTAAAGTGAATTGACTCTATTTTTTGTGGGCGATACATGGCAGCCAATTATACATTGAACTCAAATATTGAACCTCTAATCTTACTCATTTTTTTATCAGTTTGCTTTTTGCAAAAGTTATACACTCTCCTCTGGGCATTCAGATTTCATAATAGACTTTACATTTGATACAGCATCTTAGCCCGTGCTCACTATCCCTCCCTAAATAATGTCCGGCGGAAATGGCAGGTAATGGCACTAATTTGACAGATGGATCCACAGGCCGGGTTGGGGGGGATTTAGCTGTGGAGAGGGGTGTGGTGCAGCCCTGGTGCCTCAGGAGCAATCTATGGGGCCCTTTTAGGGTCAGGAGACTGGGAGACGCCGCTGGGAGCACGCGCCTGGCCCTGGATATACCAAAGGGAAATGTAACAGACTGAGCCAGACCACAGCCTTCCCTGCCTCTGGGGCATTTTGAAGTTAAGGATGTTTCAGGTGCAGGTTAGTGCCTGAAAACCCTGTGGCTTGTTTCTCAGTGTAACAAGAGATCGACAGTTCTCCTGACTCTGTCTGTCTGACAAAAACACTTTGTAATAGCAGCCAAATGGCGCCCTCTGGTGGAGGCACTGAGTACAACAGTCAACTGCAATCCCGCACGTCGCCACCAGACGGCACATCGTGTCTCCCAGTTCCTTTGAGAGCAATCTTTTCAGTCCCATTTCCTGCCCTATCCCAAAACCCGTCGTTTACTGATTTTTAGGTATTTATCTGCTATTTGTCAGTGCCTTGGGATATCTTCCCAATGTGAAAGGTGCTATAATAATGCAATTTGCTTTTATCCTCGTTCCCCTTTGAAAGCTAATGTGGATTCTGCCTCCTGAACAGCATTCCACCACTCTGTGCGAAAAATAATCTCCTAATCTTCCCATTTGCTTGTTTGCTAACATCTTACATTGATGTCCTCTGGTCACTGACTCACTAACTAGGCACTGGAGGAAAGGATCTTTGGTCAATGGAGTCTGCGGCCCTCACAGCCATTACCGACATCATTAAGCTCAAGCCTCCATTCTTGCCCCCACCCCTCTGAAGTCATTCTGTGCAGTCAGAGAGCCCTGAGCCTGTGTGAGGTTTTGAGGTGCACACAGCCAGATTCCTGAGCTCAAGATTTCAACTTTATTCATTTGATGTTACAGCTCGTGGTAAACAAGTATAATATTCACATGTCACAGGCTACAAACTGAGGAGGTCTCGGCCGGTCCCTCCCTCACACAGTTACAGATCAGCTTTCCAGTGCATGTAGCTCACATTCAAATCACTGAGACACCCACCAAAATCAGACAGATAGCTAGATAGACAAAGTGAGAGCGAAACATACAGATAGATAGAGCGAAAGAGAGAAAGAAACAAGAGATAGAGAGAGACAGTGAGAGAGTGAAATAGGGTGCCTGGAGCTGCAGTGACACAGTCTGCACTGGAGCCTCCAGCAATGCTTGTGTCCATAGTCAATTCTAAAACATAATTATGATTTTACCTAAACTGAGATCAAGAGGATTATATGAACCTCGACCCATTTTATCTCTTCTAGAATCCACACCTTCCTCAAACTGTCATTCCCCACCCCGCCCCAGTAATCACGTTCATATCCCTCGCATTGTGTAAAGAAATACTTCCCGGTCTCTGCCGACACCTAAACCCACAGTCTCCCAATCTTGGTGCTTTGACCATCTACAAGTAATAATAATAATAATAATAATCCTTGCATTTGATATAGCGCTTTTCACGTCGGGAGGACATCCCAAAGCGCTGCACAGAACACACTGTAAAGTGAATTGACTGTATATTTGTGGGCTAACGCGGCAGCCAATTGCGCACAGCAATGTCCCACAAACAGTCGTAGATTGAAAATGACAGATTTTATTGTTGTTTTTGGTTTTGGAGGATTATTATTAGGCTCTGTGTGGAGTAAGGAAACTTGCCCAAGGTTTCGCCCTCTGCCGGGAATTGAACTTGGGTCTCTCGCTTGCAAAGCGAGTGCTCTAACCACTGAGCTACATATTATAAATACATATTATATACATATTATATTATATTATATAAGTATTAGGAACAGGAGACGATTCAGCCTGTGCCACCATTTCCCAAGATCGTGGCGGATCCACATTTCCCACCCTCTGGCCATGTGCTCTGATAACCCTGTCTATCTGGAATTTATCTATTTGCTTTTTAAATTTTTTAATGGATTTGGCCTGGACTGCCCTCTGGGGGCGTGAATGCCACATTCCCACCACCTGCTGCAGGAAAACAACCTACAGTCCTCAATTCTCTCACCAGAGAAACCAGTTTTGGTTTATTAATGTAGCTTCTCACAGCCCTTTCCAAGGCCATTGATGTCTTATTTCCTGGAAAAGTCCTGAATTACCCAGACCATTTCACATCTCATCTTTCTGGGGATCGGACACTTTACAGAATATAATAACTGAGTAAAATGGGGTTAATTTTACTCAGGCACAGGTTTATCTGAGTAAAATCGACTTCAAGATCCTCACATTCGTGTTCAAATCTCTTCACTCCTGGCACCTCCCTACTGCTTTGATTTCCTCACACCCAGCGCCTTTGCTCGCGTGGCACCGGCCTCCTGCTTGTCCCTTGCACCCTCTGCTCCACCATTGGAGTCGCACATTCAACCACTATGCCCCGAAACTCTGGAACACTCTCCCTCAATGCCTCTGCCTTGCCCCCTATCTCCTCTTTTTCAAGTCCCGCCTGAAAATCTTCCTTTTCGACTGTGTTTGCGGTCACCTTTACCCCTTCCCACTCCGGCTCAGAGTCAGGCTCCACCACTGTTAAGCACTCTGAGACGCAACCCTGCGAGGAGGACGCTATATAAGTGCAAGTCGTTACTTTTGTTAACACAAACCATGGGAAGGGTCCCAGCCACAGGCTGAATGTAGTACCACTCGTGCAGTACTGCTGTGTTCGCACGAGGTGGTGCTGCGCGTCAATAAATACTATTTACAAAGTAGCTCATTGTCTCTGCACCGCGGACCCCCATTCTCTCTGACAGAGGGTGTGACAGAGCCCTGACATGGCACAAATCTCACCATTTCTGGTGTCGCTCTCATGGCAAAATACGGCTGCCTGACAGGCTCTAACTATTCACACTCTGTCCACACTCCCTGTTGGTGCACATGCACACTTAGCACACGCACACTGTCTGGGACAGTACCCTGCTGAGGGGGGATATATAAATGCAAGTTCTTGTTGTCACTCGGTGTCGCTTACATTCGATGCACACTCACGCTCAGCGTCGCTCACACTCACGGTCGCACTTGGTGTCGCTTACACTTGGTGTTACTCACACTCATACTCTGTGTCATTCACACTCAGTGTTTCACACTCGGTGTCGCTCACACTTTGGTGTCGCTCACACTCGGGGTGGCTCACACTCAGTGTCACTCACACTCGCTGGGTGCTGCTAAAGGGCTCTGGAACTCTACCCTGCATGAGGGGTGCTATATAAATGCAAGTTGTTGTTGCTGAAAGGTGTTGAGTAGTTGAACATCAGGTAGTCAGTGGAGTAGAGCTGGTAGAGGCCCTGGCGTTGGGCGGCTGAGAGCCGGGAGAAGTAGTGGTGAGTGAGTTCGGGGCCGGTGCGCTTGTCGCCAGGGTGCCGGTCCTTGTTGCGGGGGAAAGTCAGATTGCCGGGGGCAGCGAGCAGGCGGAGCAGGTAGGCCGCGTCCTCGTCCATTGTCTCAAACTTGCCAATGAAATCATAGTCAATGAGGCACGGGCTACACAGGCGGCCATAACCCTCCCAGTGAATGTCCATCCCCACCGGCCGTCCCCCGTCCAGCAGGTAACGGGCAAACTCGGAGAAAGTGACGCCGGACCCTGAGACCAGGGCCTCCTGTGTCGCGTTAGGCCGGTACTTGCTGATGATGGCCCGGCCAAACACCGGGTGGTAATAGGCGTTGGGATGTTCAAACTTGTCCCTGAAGGCCGAGACCAGGCGCTGGAAGGGCTCGCGGACAAACAGGGCCTTGGTGTATGTCTGCAGCCTGTGCTCCACCCCCGCACGGTCAAAGCTATCCAGCCGGCGCAGTGCGTTACTGTAGTGCACAGCCTGGTGCCGGATGTGGTCAGGATCAGAGGCCTGGCCGCTCAGCACCATCAGCACACGCTTCCAGTTGGAGCAGCCGGCCTTTGGCACCTCGCAGTACAGTAGCCCGTGTCTGTCCTCCACATACACCCGGGAAAGGTGGCTCCGGCCTAGGCCCAGACTCCGGCCCACACCCAAGTTCTGGCCCTGCACCCTCAGGCACATCTGCTGCACCAGCCGCCTGCGGCTCAGCTGAACCTCCTGCAGTCGCCGCTGCTCCTCAGCTTCTGGCATCTTCTCCTGCTCGTTCAACAGCTTCCTCCTGCGGCGGTGAGGCCGGCGTGGCAGGCTGGGGCCTGGGCCTGGGCTCCACTCCCTGTCCCCAGGCCTAGTGTGAGGCTTCAGCTCTCGCTCCCTCTCGCCTTTTTCCAGGCTGGATCCGGGAATTCTCTGCCTCAAGCTTGTGGTGTTGAGCTCAGGCCAGGAGAGATGCAGAGGCCATGGTTGTCTTGTCAAGGCCACCGCACCCTTTCCCCCAGGGGGGATCCAGCGGCCTGAGGCCTGGGAGGGAGGGTCAGATTTAAAATATTTCAACACAAGATTTTGAAACAACAACTTGCCCTTATACAACGACCTTCACACAGTGCGTAAAATATAAACAAACTGATACAAGAGAAAAACAGCTGTTGCTTTCCTGGGCTGTCTGCAATGCCACAGTGCCCCCCAGGAAATCTGTCACGTGTAGTGACTATTTTCATAGACAAATTCAGCAAACAATTCCCACAAGCAACAACAAACCAGCCATGAGACAAGCAACCAATTACTTATCTGGGTTTTTTTGATGGGCACACCGACTGAGAGAAACAGCGTGCGTCACGGGATCTGATGTCCATGTGAACAGGTACAGTTAGGAGCTTGGTTTAAAGACAGTCATCCAAAGGACAGCATCTCTGATAATGAGTGTCAGCCTGGACTGTGAGCTCAAAGTCCCTGATGTTGCTGCTTCTGGGACATTGCTCTGCACAAATGAACACCCGTGTTTGCCTACAAATCACAAAGTCACTACACTTTGCAGTAAATCCTGTGAAGGACTTTGCCACATCCTCCTAACATGGAGAAGAATTGGGCCATGCTCCTGACATAATATTACATATTAAATGTAAAACTTTTATTGTGGTGGGGTTGGAACCCACTAGTTATTGCCCCTGTGTGTGTGTGTGTCTGTGTGTGTGTCTGTGGATGTCTGTATAATGTGTCCAGTCGTCAGCAGAGGGCGATGTCCACCTTTATGATTCTGAACAAACATTAAATTCCTGTCCAGATAATAATAAATACTCCTTGTGTGTAATATTGTGTGTTCCACGTCTCATAGCGCTTCACAGGGAGTAGAGTAAAGTGTAGTGACTGTCTATAGGTGACCTAAGCAAGAGAAGCTTCACTGTAAATGAGCATGGGGAATGGTTAGTGGTGACAGGCTGATTCCTACCTTCCTGATGTGTCTGACCTTCACTCCGACCAGGACTCCTGCAACACACAAGTCACTAGTCACATCCACAGGGTCACACACCCACCTTTCACCAAAGCACCAAATCCAATCCAGTCTGAGGGCACAGTGTAGACGGAGTTTTACTGTGTCTCTAACCCTGACTTCGGAGTGTGGACGGACAGTGTAGGGGGGGGTGTACTCGGGTACAATAAACACATTGGGTTCTGGAGGGGGAGGATGGAGTTAGTCACAGAGTGAATTGGCCTCTGAGCTGCGGGGTGTTGTGAAGAAGTGTAATCACAGGATGTGTTTATTATTCCCCTCAGGAGCTCGTAGAGAATTCAGCTGGAAACTTGGCTGTAAAGACATCAGAGCTTTGTTCCTGGAGCTGAGACACGGGCTGGTGCTGGGAGGAGGGGGGCTGGGGAGGGAGGAGACGTTCTGTGAGACCCTCGTTCCACGTAGCCTCTCACTTGCGTGGTTGAGCAGTAAACCCCCGGGGGGAGGAGAGGGGATGGGGAGGGGAGGGGATGGGGAGGGGATGGGGAGGGGGAGGGGGGCTGTTGATGTGTTAGGGGGCAGTTGCTCCCCACACCTCCAGAGATGTGTAATTGGACAGAATTCAACCCCGTCACCATCCTGTCGCTTAGGGACAGAACACAGAGCAGTGGAGTGTTAGTGTATCAGTTAATGTCTGTATCTCTGCTCCTGTTTGCGCAACAGTGAACCATTCCCTCCATCTGCTGTATGGCTCATCAGGAGAGCGCGGGAGGGAGGGAGGGAGGAGTCACGTAGAGTGTGGGAGGAAGGGGAGAGGGAGGGAGAGAGAGAAGAGGGAGAGGGGGGAGGGAGTGGGGAGTGATGGCTGACCTGTCTGTGGGGGGAGAATGTGGCTCAGGTCTTGTAGGCGGCTAAAGACGAGGAGTCCGAAGGCCCCGAAGAGCAGGACGAAGATGAAGAGACAGGTCACCCTCGTGGCAGCCATGGTGTCCCCGCTGTGAGGGCAGTGCCCGGCAGCCTGGCCCCACAACCTACACACACAGCACATCACCCAGAGCAGTGAACAGGGTGCCCCACACACACACACACAGTGACACACTCACACTCACACAGGCAGACACACACACAGTGACACACTCACACAGGCCGACACACACACACAGTGACACACACTCACACAGGCAGACACACACACTCACACAGGCAGACACACACACAGTGACACACACTCACACAGGCAGACACACACACTCACACTCACACAGGCAGACACACACACTCACACAGGCAGACACACACACACAGTGACACACACTCACTCACACACACAGGCAGACACACACACACACACACAGTGACACACACACACACACAAAGTGACACACCCACAGACACACACTGACACAAATATACACACATACTGCTATTCTGTATAATAAACATACACAGCCCCCCCCCCCCCCCCCCCCCCCCCCCCGCACTCACATTAAATCCCCCGATATAAACGCTCCGCGTCCGGCAAACGAATAAATCGGCAAAAACCAGCAGTGGCTGCGAACACTCGGCGGGAGGGTCAGACAGCATCTATGGAGAGAGGAAAGTGAGACAACGTTCTGACGAAATCGTGGATCCCAAACGTTGACTCCCGTCGCTCTCCCCACAGTGCCGTCTGACCCGCGGAGTGTTCGCGGCCACTACTGGTTTTGCTTCAGATTTCCAGCATCTGCGGTGCTTTGCGTTTAATAATAATATTTGTATAAATCGGCAACTTTCAACTAAATAATAAATTTAAGAATTTCCAGAGCCCGGTACACAACTGGTTAATACAACCTTACTTCCCTTTGTAACTGTGACATCTCACACTCACTCTCACACTCACTTTCACTCTCACACTCACTCGCATTCACCGAAACACACGTACATAAGCACTTGCTCTGGGTTTCACACACAGGCATTTCCACTCTCACTCACTCAGACACTCTCACACACACTTTCACTCTCAGACTCTCTCCCTCCCTCATTCACTCTCATCTCTTTCACAAACACACTCACTTCCTCACTCACCCTCTCCAATCCTCACTTCATCACTCACTCACTCACTCACTCGCTCAGTCTCTCTCACACGCTCTCACACTCACACACACTGACACTGACCTGACAGCTGTGGGTTGTGTGGAGCTGAGACAGACTGAGTTACTCCGCACTGAGCGTTCCTGTGTGTGTCTCTCTATCCCTCTCCCTCACACCCGCTGAGCTGCGATCTCCGCTACTTTCTGGCTCTGTGTCTCCAGAAGAAACGGACGCACAATTGGAAGCGATGGAAGCAGAGACACAGCGAGTGATGGCGGGAGCCAGTCAGTGAGATGCTGAACCACACACAGCACTGAGCGCTCCTGCTTGGTCCCCGGCAGCGCTATACACAGCCTGTCCAGACATAGCAACCGGCAGCCAGACACACACACACACACACAGACAGACACACACAGACAGACGAGAACAGAGAGAGAGAGAGAGAGAAACAGGACAGAGTGAGACAGACAGACAGACAGACGAGAACAGAGAGAGAGAGAAACAGGACAGAGTGAGACAGACAGACAGACAGACGAGAACAGAGAGAGAGAGAAACAGGACAGAGTGAGACAGACAGACGAGAACCGAGAGAGAGAGAAACAGGACAGAGTCAGACAGACAGACAGACAGACGAGAACAGAGAGAGAGAGAAACAGGACAGAGTGAGACAGACAGACAGACAGACGAGAACAGAGAGAGAGAGAAACAGGACAGAGTGAGACAGACAGACAGACGAGAACAGAGAGAGAGAGAAACAGGACAGAGTGAGACAGACAGACAGACAGACAGAGAGAGCACAGGGAGAGAGAGAAACACAGGACGGAGAGTGAGAAAAGAGCAGGAGATACAGAGAGACAAACGGGGCAGAGAGAGAGAAAGAGCACAGGGATAGAGTCAAAGGAGAGACAGACAGAGGGTAGAGAGCGGCACAAACACACACACACACACAGGACAAAGCGAGACAGATAGACAGAAAAACAGACAGAGGGCAATCATGAGACTGAAGCCGAGGGAGAAAGGAAGGGCAGAGAGAGAGGGAGATGGTGACAGAGAGGGAAATTGGAGAGCTTTCCTGAGTTTATTGCTGGGAACATGTTACAATGTGTTGGAATTGTCGCCTGAATTCCCATCAACATCAGCTGTGAAGTTAGTTTGTAATCACTTTTATTTCAGAGATTCTTCACACTGAGCTCAGAAAATAGTAATATAATATTCCTTGCATTTGATACAACAACAACAACATTAGATTTGTATAGCACCTTTCAAGTCGGGAGGACGTCCCAAGGCGCTGGACAGTAACAGCATTTCAGCGCCTTATCACGTCATTGAGACATCTCAAAACGCTTCACAGAATATACTGTAAAGTGGATTGACTGTATTTTGTGAGTGAAACATGACAGCCAAAGAGAATTCATTCTCATTTTTATTCATAGCAAAATCCTTGGAGGAGCTCAGAGACTGTGATTCTCCACTCTTTCTCCATTAATAATATAATACAGCAGCTTAAATAATTACTGCTTACAGCCATGTGTCCCCTCACCCCGGCCTGCATCCCCCCCCCCCCCCCCCCCCCCCCCCCACACACACACACGCACAGACCCCTACCGCACAGAACACAGGCCCACATCACACACGCATAAACACACGCAGCTCTATCCCCCACAAGCACAGTTCTATCCCCCACACATACAGCCTCCCCCCAACACATAGCCCCCCCACTCACATACAGCCCCCCCACACACACACACAGGTCCCCACGCACACACAGCCTCTTCCCCACATACACACAGCTCTCCACCGTGCCCCCCCTCCCACCCCAAATACACAAATACACACACACACATTGGGAATGTAGTTGGCAGAGGTGATATCAAAGCTTGCCGGATGCCTCTCACACAGCCTGGCTTCCAAAATAAAGCGGCAAGCTCCAGGGAGATGGTTACCATGGCAGCGGTGGTGAATCATAGCACCTGTCTGATGTGGGATTTTCTTGGCACACCAGTGTTTCTAGGACATCTGTCTCCAGAACCTTCCATGCCATCACAGCCTGCTGCCTTGTGAAGGTTCACCGGGTCGTTCTCTGTGGTATTTGCTCCCCCTTCTCTTGAAGGTCTTTGCTTTTCTTTCATTCCCTTGGTGATGGTTTGACATTCTCTGTTACATGGCCTAATGTCCCAACCCCCTTCCCATTCACTCCCAATGTCTTAACCCCCTACCATTCACTTCTAGGGTACGCACTACTAATGTCCAACCCTGAGCTGTGAATATACCAATTAGTAGGAGCTGGAAAAGCTCTTTAAGATCCATCTTCTCACATCCTAACCCCTTCTCTCTCCTACATGCCTATTGAAATCTGTGCTGTCTGCTTCTCTGCCCTTAATAATAATCTTTGCATTGGATATAGTGCCTTATCACATAGTTGAGCTATCTCAAAGTGCTTCACACGATACATTGTAAAGTGGATTGACTGTGTATTTTATGGGCCTTCCAGTAACTTATTGCACAAGTTTATGAGCTTTGTGTGAAAGTCCTGCCTGAATTTGCTGCTCATGTATAACTTGTGTTCCCTGGTATGTGATCCCTTCATCACTGTGAACTATTTTCCTGTATCTTCATCAATAAGCAGCCTGGCTCAGGCTCCAGCTCTACTCTCTGGGTCAGAAGGTTCCGGTTCAAGCTCCACATCAGGACTCTGAGCTCCAATTTGGGTGGGGGGGAAGGGCTATTGATTGTTAGTCAATTGGCGAATCACTTACCGGGGGTAATGATCACTTTAAAAAAATGTATTTGATCACTCAATCCACGAGTGTTTGTGGGACACTGCTGTGTGCTGTGTGCAATTGGCTGCCATGTTTCACCCACAAAATGCAGTCAATTCACTTTACAATATATTCTGTGAAGCACTTTGAGACGTCTCAATGATATGGATAAGGCACGATATCAAATGCAAGGATTATTATTATTACTATTATAGATGTAAAGACAGTATGTGAGGGATCTCGCTGTGTGCAATAGCTGCTGCTTTCACCTACATAAAGTAGCCTTTAAACCTGACAGTAATTATCTCTGAAATGCTTTGAGTCTGTGCTGTGATGTGGTGCTGTAGAAACCTCAGCTCTTTCTCTAACCCTGCGAGCGAGCAGACGTCAGGCACTGAGCCACTCTCTGCTTAATTGTCATGCTACTACTGAGAATGAATGAGATTTAAATGTTAACGGCAACTCACAGAGATGGAAGTTACTTAAATCATTGATGAAGCCTTGACCTTGTTAAAAGAGAAGGAAAGAAATGGGTGGGAAAATCACAAAAGTGAAATAAGTGGAAATGATATTTACATAAAAATTTAATTTTCATCAGTTCATGTTTGCTACAGCACCCCCACCCCCAAACCCCGACCTGTTCAAAATCACCAGCTTGTCAGTAAATCCAACTGTATTGACTTCAGCAGCTCAATGGTTCTGAGCTTTACTGAATGGAGGGCAGCATTTTTTACAGTATATTCTGTGAAGCGTTTTGAGTCATCTCAATGATGTAATAAAGCGCTTTATTAAATGCAAGGATTATTATATATTATTGTTATTAATACTGATAAAACTAATCAGCTGCTCCCATTAGTAGTTTCTGGTGTCAATCTTGGTCTGCGGACGGTGTGGGAAGGTTGTGCATTAAATGGGGGGAAATCATGGTGTATTTGGAGAAGCAAAGATCTCCTCTGCTGCTCCTGGGATTACCTGCCCACTCCCCCCCACCGCTGGACACAGCATAAAAGGGGCAGCCCATTGGGATCCTCTACAACAATGACAGGATTTCCTGGGCTCCCAGCAACAGACAGGGGCAGATTAAGGAACGCGTATCTCAGTGACAGTCACTGTCTCAGTGACAGTGACTATCTCAGTGACAGACATCTCCTCAGCCCTGTTCCCTGCCACCCAATATACATACATACAGTAACGCGGTGATAGTTTACCATGCAGTAACATATGCAGCTATATCAAATGCAAGGATTATTATTATTATTATTATTATTATTATTTGCCAACACCAATGACATCCCTGCAACACGTGTCGCCCCAAAAACCGCAGCAATCGCTTGTTCCAGTCAGACTGTGGCTCTGAAATATTAATGACAACGCTCCAGTGTCCTATGTCCTGCAGAGCACAGCCACTCACATCCCCGACTGCATTTAATCCATAAATAAAATGCAAAGATCGCCTTCTCTGCAACTTTGGAAGAGTCACTGACGTGATAAGCGAGGATAGATAGCTCTTTATCTCTGCCTGCCTGTCAGCACCTCGCTGTAACTGAGCCAGTTAATCCAGCGCACTCCACACAACCCAATCCTTCACAACACTAATGAATGAAACCAGCCGCTTGTCAGTTACCCCGCGGTTCCGATCGTCCTGTCTCCATACATCAAAGAAATTGCAGCGCTCGCAATCTGATTAAAATCTGCAGGTGGTCTCCTGGCTCCGGCTGCTGTCTCCCGTCTCGATTCACACCACTCCTCACATTGGGTACTTGCATTCTACAATCGCTCCGATTTATATCCACAAAGGAGATATTTGAGAACATTTAATGTCAACGCCTGGTATTGTTACAATCATCTTTAGACTCCAGATGAGTTGCAATAAAAATAAAAGGTGTTATAATTTCTTGGTCGCCGTTCTTGTTACAATATTTTTAAAGACTGCAATAATGTTTCACCAGGAAGAGTTCTCCTGCTGATAGTGATTTTTGTTTTGCAATTTTGTCCCAATAAAAATAAGCAGATTGCAGGTTTATATCTGAATTCGAAAACACTTTTGTTGAAACATATTGTCGTTTCGCCAACAATGTAGTTTCCGAGACATGAAGTCCTCAAGAATTAAAATGTGTTCGAGGCTTTAAGTTATTGGAGGAAATGAACGCGCTGTGAGGATGGAGAGGAGGGAACCTTCCCTGGGCTGCAGGTGAACGATTCACCTGCACGTGGATCTGTCACCAAGGACGAGTGTCGCGGGGCACGCCGGGAAGTGTAGTTTTCCCGCCAGTCGCCGACACCGCGGACATCGGAGAGGACTGCATATCCCGGCGTGCTCTGCGCGACACCGCCTCCTCCCTTGCCATTGGCTGACCAGCTGTCTCGGGATCACGTGCTATCAGCGGCTGACGAGTCACGTGAGGAGCACAGTGCAGAGCAGACAACATGGCGGCCACAGCGCAGTGAGTACGGGGTTCTGAGGGCGAGGGTCAGGGCTGCCGCTGTGACAGGAGCTTCAAGCTCCCATGTCAGTGTGGGCCGAGGGCGGGGAGATGGGGAGGCCACGACTCGAGCTGTGGCCTCTCAGTTGCGCTCTTTCCTCTCCACCCATTCACTTTGAACCCCTCCAGTCGGGTTTCGGTGCTGCCCCACAGCACAGACACCGCCCTGGTCAAGGTCACCAATGCCATCCTGACCATCTGTGACCAGGGCTCCCTCTGCCGCCTCGTCCTCCTCGACCTATCGGCAGCATTCGATACGGTCGACCACACTATCCTCCTCCACCGCTTGTCCTCCCACCTCAACCTTCAAGGCCCTGTCCTTGAGTGGTTTAGATCGTACCTCTCCCACCGTCTCCACTTTGTTTCCACACACGGCTTTTCCTCCACCCCTCACCCGCACTGTCTCGTGTGGTGTCCCTCAGGGCTCTGTCCTCGGTCCCCTCCTCTTCACCCTCTATATGCTCCCCCTGTGGTGACATCACCTCAAGGCTGGACTATGGGAACTCTCTCCTCGTCGGCCTTCCCGGCCCTCCCTCCACACTGCAGGTCATTCAGAACTCTGCAGCTCGTGTACTGTCCCGCACCAGACACCGCGACCACATCACTCTCGCCCTCGCCCTCGCCCTCACCCTCGCTCACCTCCACTGCTCCCCATCCCCCAGAGGATCGAATTCAAGATCCTCACCCTCACCTACAAGGCCATTCACGGCCTCGCTCCCTCCTACCTCTCCGACCTACTATCCCCCTACCTACCTGCCCGTACCCTCCGTTCCTCTGGCTCCGGTCTGCTCCACATCCCCCGCCCCAACCGCCCTATCATTGGTGGCCGGGCCTTCAGCCTCTCAGCCCCGAGGCTCCGGAACTCCATCCCCAGTGCTTTCACCGCTTCCTCCCTTTCCTCCTTCAAGGCCGGTCTCAAGACCTTTCTCTTGACCGTGCCTTCAGCTCCCCTCTCGACTCTCTACACCCTCCTCGCCCCCTCCCTTCCCTCCCCTCACCCTGACCATTTCCCCCCAATGCTCGGGTCCTGACCCAACTGTTCAGCGCCTTGGGACATCCTCCCGACGTGAAAGGCGCTCTATAAATGGAATCTTGTTATGGTTGTTGTGTTAACACCTTGGCTGTGTCTGGGCAAATAGAGATTAAGTGTTGCAAGATTCTCAGTCAAAGCACCATGCCGGCTCTAAATAATAATAATAATAATCTATGTAGCAGTGGCTGGGAACACTCAGCAGGTCAGGCAGCATCTATGGAGAGAGGAAAGTAAGTCAATGATTCGGGTCCCTTCGTCAGAACTGATCTGTTTTTGTTTCAAAGCTGCAGTGTTTTGCGTTTTTTAAATAATAATCCACATACTTGATTATAGCGCTTTATCACGTCTTCTAGATGTCTGACAGAGCTTCACAGAATATGCTGTAAAGTGAATTGACTGTATGTTTTGTGGGTGAAACGCCTTGATGCCTTGGAGCAAAGTACATTTCACTTTGGTATTTACAATCACAGTGATTGATTCCAGCAATTTCTAACCAGCGCAAAGTGAATGAGTTACCCTGCTGATAGATGGCACTTGTGCTGACAGTTGTGTGACCCTCGTTGACACTGTTTGTCCTCGGGAAACAACTCCTACTGTAAAAGCACTGATTTTCCACTGCATTTGGCAGGAATTGGGGTGAAATGTTGGAGATATTTTGGCACTGTAAAACCACTTCATTCAGGCAATTAGTGGGTTAATGTTCAATCGTAACATTTTTTCTTAGAAGCAATACGTTTTATCATCCTGTCAAAGTGCACTTGTTTCAGGAGGGAATTGCATGATCAGCTCACTTGATGCTTTGTCAGCACTTTGCTCAACTCTGTGAGTCTTGATTTAACTCCTGACTCAATGTATACTTCCTTATGACTTTCCGTGCTTCCTCTTTTCTTTGTTAATCCCCCCCCGCCCCGACATTTATATTTCTATGACAGCATCGCAGCTGTGTCCCTCCCTCATCAGCACTGCAGGAAGACATAGCTTGCATCTTTATAATTATATCACATTGAAAGAAATAATTGCTGCCAAGTGTAGTGATTGTAGGCAAACAAGACGGCTATTTTTCACACAGCAGCATTTTGGTGGGCAACACGTTAATCTGGAAGATTGTTGGTCAAATTCCCCAGCTTTTTCTCTCCCAGTAGTGCCAAGAGCTTTAGCCTTTACCTGAAAACAAAGTGAGGGGCTGCAGTGGAGTAAGAACTCTCATTCCTCCCCTTCCTCTCCTACCCTCGCTGTCAAAATTGAACCCTTTTGCTGAGCCCTTTTTGACACTATGGTTGAGATCAACTAACTCAGCAAAGGTTGGATATTGAACCTAAGACCTTGCTGATCAGATTGATTAATATGAAAACTCTTTGGATTATGATATTGGTAATTAGATTGAATTTAGATTATGATCAAAATCATTTTGGATTATTACCCTTCACCTGAAGTGAAATTGCCTGATTGGGCCAACCGCTTCTTCTTGACTGTTGAAGTCAATGAAAGTGCAGAGAATGCAAGTTTCTTGGTTACTGAGTCATGTCAGATCCCCAGTGGCTAGTGGATAAACTCAGTGTCCACAAGTTCCTCTTCCCTGGTTTACCTGAGTTACTTATCTCAAACAGGTCAGCAATCATGGCTGCACTCGACCTTACTTGTCGGACAGGAAAGGGGAAATATCAGCCAGTGTTCATGTGTGTGAGTGTGAGCAGGCGTGTGTACACGTATGAATGTATTTATGTAAGTGTGTTACCCTGCTGGGATGTTGGGTCAGGACTGGATCAGGGTTGCAATGCAGCAAGAGGGGAGTAGCTGCTGAAATTGTGTCTATATTTGCAAATGAAAAATGGGCATTTGCGTGAGCTACGAAGGGGCAACTGGTGCGTGTGGCGCTGTCTCTCACTAGCTGACACTCACTACCTGATTCTGGTACCTTGGTTCCTTAGCAATGAGCAGTAGTAATTTACGAGCACTAGATATCAATAACATATTTTGTCAGTAGAATGTCACATATCACACAGTTACTCAGGGACAAGACCTTGTGGCTGCTGCAAAGATAGTGTGAGAATCTGGCAGAGTGGATGGATTGGCTTCAACTCCTGAACTTCCGTGAATTTAGAAATTCTGGAGAAGCCTGGAAGTGTGGTGTTCAGGACATATATAGCTCAAATCTCCCCATCTTTCAGCATCTTAACACAAAACTCTCAATGTCTGCATTCAGGCTGTCTTTCTCCATGGGCAATGAGACCCTCCAGGTGCCGATGGCTGTCTTCTCCCTGAATCGCAGGAGATTGTGTCAACGTCTGAAGGATAACGTCAATGTACCCAAGAACGGAATCGTGTTGCTGCAGGGAGGAGAGCAGAGCCAGCGATACTGCACTGACACGGATAACGTCTTCCGCCAGGTAAACTCACACTGTTACACAGAGCAGCTCAGGTAAACTCACACTGTTATATAGTGTGAAACGAGCCAAAAGTCACATGGCAAACAGCAAAAAAAACCTGGCAACATACTATTGCCCAAGGCTGCCTATTCCGCTCTCTATCTCTTCCTCTATCTCTGGACATTGAGGACCCCCACCACTGCCCCCCTCCCCAATATGAGGCAGTCAGTTTGCAGTCTCCAGTTAGCACCCCCACCATTATTTTGTGAATTTCACAAATTAGACCCTGTAAATGACTGTAATATTTATTCTCCAGGACAAGAAATGAGGAGGCAGAGAAGGGATTGTGTACAAGGTGTTAATTTACACAGAGAGAGAGAGAGACAATGTGGGGTGTTTGATTGTTGAGGGAGAGACTTAAAGAGAGGGAATAATCTACTGAATTGCCACATAATTGCTTTTACTTGCTTATGCTTCAGTTGTTCCTTATTTCCAAAATTTATACAACTGATCAGAGACATCTTGGGAGTAGATGTTGCTAAGGTTAGCAAACACTTTGTGTGGGTGTGGGACTGAATGTGGCTGTGTCCCCCCTCATGTTGATTGTGTAACTCAGTCTAATCAGAATTAGAGGAGGTTGCTGCTTTGTTCTTTTCTTCTGTGTTAGCTTAACTCATTATAGCTGTGAGCATGACACTGAAGTCACTGTACGGCTGAGCAGGCAAAGAACGGAATATCTGGGCTGGATTTAATTACTGTCAGCAGACAACTATGGGCTGCCGGTGACGAGGGCAATGCAGGAGCTGTCCTTCAGCACCAGGAATGAGACATGATTCAATTCTCTGCGTGCATCTGGATGTTGCTGCTGCTGCTGGCAGTGCAATCACAAGGGTTCGTGCCTTTGCTGTACGTGCCTACTGCTTGACAACACAACAACAACAAAATTACATTTATAGAGCGCCTTTCATGTCAGGAGGACGTCCCAAGGCGCTGGATAGTCAGAGGTCAGGCCCCGAGCATAGGGGTGGGGTAGGGGTGAGGGAAGGCAGAGAGGTGGGAGGGCAACTGAAGGCATGATCACGGATCTTGTGACCGGCCTTGAAGGAGGCAAGGGAGGAAGTGAGGCAAAGGGACCGTGAGATGGAGTTCCAGAGTGTGGGGGCAGAGAGGCTGAAAGCCCGGCCACCGATAGTAGAAGGGGTCGGGCGGGAGACATGGAGCAGACCGGAGCCCGCTGAACGGAGGGAGCGGGTAGGTTGGATGGACTGCCCGCTCTGTTACCCCCACCCTGATATATAATGCTCCTACTCCCCGCTCGGGTGTCCAGCCCACTGTGTGAAGCACTTTGAGTCGTCCTCCCCACATGTTAGATACTAATATAAATGTAAATAAATACAATGCCTGTTTCCTTGTGGTAAAATGTTCCAACCAAGGCCTGATTCTCATCTTGGTGACTAGTCAGCTAAACATGGTGATTTATGATTGCAGTTTCATTGTATTCATGGCAAAGTGTCCAAGACTCTACCCTGTGTAAAACATGCTATAAAATGCAAGTTATTGTTTCCAAATGTGAGTGCGCTGGGCTCAGCACATTGTTATTAGAGACAGTGAATGGACAGCACTGGTTCTCTCCTCACAGGAATCCTTCTTCCACTGGACGTTCGGAGTCACTGAGGCCAACATCTATGGTGCCATTGAGGTGGCTTCCGGCAAAACCCACCTCTTCATCCCCAAGCTCCCAGAGAACTACGCTGTCTGGATGGGAACGTAAGCAATTTGTACGATTATAGTCAGCACAGCTCACAAAACAACCTGTCATTTCATTCCATTCCCTGCCCTTTCTCTCCACCTTCCCCAATTTCATTTCTTAAATACCTTCTAAATTTCCTTCAAAGGCATCATCATGGATTAAGCGCTCTGAGACGCCGTCTGGCGTGGAGGGCACTATATAAATCCAAGTTGTTGTTGTTGGATTCTGGTTCATTCCATGTCCTCGTCCTCTGTGTAGACAAACCACCTTTTCCGAGGTGGGGGGTAAAGGCTGTAAAAGCAGGCGTGTGTTACCATCTTTGCCGGCCTGGGAATCGCTAGCCGGAAGCAGAGCTTCTCTCTATGTCACGACTATCATGGTTGCCACACCCGTGTGCTGTGGGGATGAACTGAAGCTTCCCGTGTGCATCCCTGCGCACTTATAGAAGCTGCAACATCATTGGGTTGATTCACTCTGGACTTTCCGAGTGGTTATTGCCTTATTCCACTCACAGCTCGGGTTTCTGGTGGGAATATCAGCCCAATTACATTTCCTGAGCGATGGGTGAAGCTCTGGAGATGAGCAGATTATTCATTTATTGGGTAACAACACAATCTCCCTATTAAATTGAGTTAATGCTGGCTGAGCTGGTCTGTGTTGTTGATAAGAATAAGCTGCTAGGTTTGTGTCGGCATGCTATCGTTTAGCGCTAATACCGTCTCTGTTCTTTCTAAAAGGATTCACCCCCCCAATTTCTTCAAAGACAAGTATGGTGTGGACAAGGTTCACTACACGTGTGATGTAAGTCAGCACTGGCCTGAAATTGATTACGTTTAGCTTGTGATCTCTGCTATTCCGCCTGCTCTGTCATACCCTGGCCCTGCCTCGATTCCTCTCTCTTGTGTCCTCTTCCTCTCTTTACTCTTTCTCTGTCTCTCTCTCTTTTCTGTCTCTCTGTTTTTCTTCTCTCTGTCTCTGCGTGTGTGTCTTTCTGTCTCTATATACTTTCTGTCTGTCTCCTCTCTGTCTCTCTCTGTCTGTTCCCCCTCTAGCTCTCTCTCTGGCTCTTTCTCTTGCTCTCTCGCACCGCTCTCTAGGGTAGTTGCAGCCTGATGACTTTTAGCAGAGTTGACAAGTTGTTCACTTTGATTCTCTTTCTCTGGTGGCCGATTTTCTCCTCTAGCTGGTGACGAGGTGTGTTTCTGACAGCAGAGCCCATTAGAGCTTTCACTGAGTGTCCCTCAGCCCAGAATCACTGCCTGCCTGGCTCCCAGGCCTACATGCCGACACCTGAAACATGCCAGCATGCGTCAGCCTCCGTACAGAGGATATAAATAGGGGGAATATCAAAATGTCTGTCATCTCACCAGCACTTCCCCTGTGCAGCCGGTGCTCACTGCTGAATAACTGTATCTATTGTATTTCTTTACAGATAGCCCAAGTTCTGAAGAGTTTGAAGCCAAATTTCCTCCTCACACTGGTGGGTTCTTCTTTATAACCCTGTGTGTGTGTGTTTGTGTGTGTGTGCATGTCCCAATCCCTGTGCGTGTTGTGTCCCTGTGTGCGCGGGTGGCGTGCCCTGTGTGTGCACCCATGTATAAATGTGAGCTAGTTGTAACTTGTGTATACAGTGCAGGTGTCCCTGTGTGTACAGCGAGTGTTGTCACTGTTCTGAACATAAACTTAAATTGTATTTCAGCACGGCTTGAACACAGACAGTGGGCACACCACCCGCGAAGCCGCCTTTGATGGAATCAGTGAGTGAGTAACTCAAATTCAAGATCCTAATTTTCACCTTCTAATCCATGGTCTCGCCCCTACCCTATCTGTACAATCTCCTTCAACCCTACTGACCAGCTGCTCCCTTCTCTCAGCTAACACTGAACTGCATCATGTTTCCCCACCGTCTTATCCGTCCCACCAATGGTGGTTACGCTTTCATCCAGTCTTGCCTTGACTGATGTCCCTCTCCCCACCCCGACGGGAATACTGTGGAGGTAAACTATCCATTGTTTCAGATTTTGAAAATCTTCCCCTTTAAGATTGGAACAAAAGCCTCAATGTCAGTGGCAGCGGGAGCCTGGCTGACTCCGGACTGTGGTAAACATGGCATTGAGTAGATTCACCAAGGACTCATTGAGAGTTGACGTCCAGGTTGAAAATGGATCTGTCTCCAGATTTGCCTGAGACATCTATAACCTCCCAAAGCATTAGTGTGTGTGACTCATGCTGCAGATGCTGTGTGGCAGCATCACACCGAGCCTGAAATCACTGACAAGTTACAGGCTAAATATAATCCTGGCCAATAACACAGCCTGAGTACTCCCAAGCTCTATACACTGAAAGGCCAACCAGAGTGGAAAGCAGAGTAGCATGTTGTGAAATGTTTTATTGACTTCTAGTCTTCTCTCCCTTTCTTGCTCTTTCTCTTCCCCGTGATGTCTTATTATATAGATGTTAAGAGGTTTATAAAGACCAGTTGAAGGCACTTAACAAAGCTGATCATCACTGTATTGTGTGCCAGTGAGTGAGTGTGTTGAAGTGATCTCCATTCACTGATAAATCAATACACAAACTAATGCACCAGTGTTTCACACACAGTTAGTGCCTATTATTTAGGGATAGGAGAGAGTGACGGAATATCCCCCTGAAGTGAGCCTGAACTAAAATCCTTCCCTTCTCTTCTCAGATTCAGTGTCAACAACACTGTGCTTTACCCTGACATGGTAGAATGGTGAGTATCATGTGCAACAATATTAACAACAATAATAATAATAATCTGTGCATTTGATACAGAGTCTTTCACGTCAGGAAGGCGTCTCAAAGTACTTCCTGACAAAATCAACTATATTTTGTAGCTGAACGACTTCATAAAAGTTTGCCAGTGAGTGTGTAGACAGTGCCTTCGCTTTTCTGTTATCTCTATTTGTGCTGAAAGTGTGGGAAGGTCTGACTCGAGATACTGAGGGATTTTGGGAGGAGGAAGAGTGCGAGATTAGTAACACAGGCGCTAGATGCTCCTTTAGCGGGCATTAACACAGGCACTAGCTCAGGACTGTGACAGGGACATTTGAGATCACACTTGCTTTTCACACACACAGACAGTTACTAGAACATTAAGTGTTTTGCTACGTGAGGCATTTGAAACGGCCGGAAAATTAAAATGAAATTGAGTAAACATGTGAAGAGAAATAATAGAATAAAACACAGCATCATGATCTCAGCTGCTGTCTCCTGCTCGGCCTCTCTGCCACAGCTTTCTGGGCTGTGATCAAATGTGATAGGAACATTTGTTTTATGTGTTTGGGCAGTGGGGAGCTCCTGCACATGTACCATGATTGCTTCTAAGTTCCTCTTTATTGGGCTCCATTCCCCACCCCCTCCCACCACCACCTCGCAAATAACGACAGTGTATTTGCTTGTGTTTAAGCCGTGTCATCAAGACGGACTTGGAAATGGAGATCCTGCGCTACACCAACCGCATCTCCAGCGAGGCTCACAAGGAGGTGAGCAGCCACACACTGTTACACACACTGGACCTTCCACCATCCTCAAACAGCAGCCTCACAGTGCTTCACATAGCTGGCCGTCAGTGGGTGGGTGGGGTGGGGGGTGAAAAGGTCATTGACAGCACATTCTAAAGCCGGTTCTTACTGTGGTTCGGAAGATGGGTGGTGGGATGGGTGCAGAGAGTGGGGGTCCACACTCCCAGGTCAGGATTAGAGTCACAGTAAAGCTCCCTCTACACTATCTGTCCACACTTCCAGGTCAGCGACAGTACAGTATAAGGCAATGCCTACAAAACTGAGTAGGAAACCTTGCTCTATTCTCTGTGTTGTTGATGTTGTTTATTTTCAGGTGATGAAAGCCGTGCGAGTCGGCATGAAGGAGTACGAGCTGGAAAGGTCAGAAGTCTTCACTTGTTCTCACAGAATATTGCAATATTTACCTTTTTGCCTTTACTTATCTACTTTGTACGCTGATTCAGTGTGTACACTGTGTCAGCGTGTACAACAACAACAACAAGATTGCATTTATAGAGCGCCTTTCACGTTGGGAGTGTACACTGTGGCTGTGTTTGATCCCTGCAGCCTAGCACTGAGCTCCGGGCTGTGTGTGTGTGATTTACCTTTTGTTGTTCGCTGACTCTGGGATCCAATGTGAAGACTGAGGCTTTCACACAGACAAGCTGCTCAGGGCCTGTTGATTGGGACTCATTAGTTGCCGCTAATTGGCTTGCTGCTGTCTCTCAGCGACAGAGCAGTGCCATGCTGGATGCTTGTTATCCATCTGACACCCACAGCAATGAAACCAACACCCGTTTGTTGTTCTCCGAGAGTTGGGATGTCAATCGCTCCTTTAGCTGCTGCTGGTGAGGCATAAACTCAGTTGAGGAACAATCCCCAGAATAACAGGCTTTAACGTGGCAAATAAATTGGCTTCATTAAGTGAGTGCGCGAATGATCGACAATCCTGGGTTTTGCTGGAGTTATGTATGTGTGTGTGTGTGGGGAGTTGAAGCTGATAGATGGTGAGGTTTCCCTAGAGTTCGGGATATTATTTCCTGGTAACACGCTCTCGTCCACCTCTCATCTTGTTGCTATAATTATAATCCCCACATTTGATCAAGCGTCTTATCACATGGTAACATATCAAAGGGCTTCACAGATAATGGCTGACTGTGTGTTTGTAGGCAAGCAAAGCAGTCATTCTGCAATATCCCACGCACAGCGATGAGGTAAGAGACCAATTTAATCCAGGGGATTGTTGGTCAATTCCCCAAGAGAAACGCCCTCTCGTTCCCTAAGGGTATCAACAAATGACATTATACACGCCGCCTTTCACGTCGGGAGAACATCCCAAGGCGCTGGATAGTCAGGGATTTGGACCTGAGCAGGAGGTTGGGATCAGTACGGGTGGAGGGCAGGGAAGGAGGGTGTAGGAGGGTGGCTGAAGGTGCGGTCAAAGTCACAGTGCAGAGCGATCACTAAGAAGAGGCTGGTGCTGGTCAGCCCTGAATGGCTCAGGTCGGTATTTGCAGATACAAAGTGCTGTGGCCATGTTGATTTTCCGGCAGGGAAATGGCTGGCAGATGAGCAGAATTAATTGAGTGCATTAAGTAATGAGCTAAATTGAGCAGCAGTTAATGGAGCGGAGCTTATTATCAGGCCTCCCCAGGTTACAGGCTTTTAAAGGATGACTGACATTTCCTCATTATCAATGTCTAATTCTCTATTAAACTTATGAGTAGCGATTGCACATTTCCTGCTTATATAGTGGACATAATGAGCCCCTAGAGCTTTCTCCTGTGTATGTGTATGTACAGGGACAGTGGAGCGGGGGCGGGGGATACGGTGAGGGGTGTATGTGATAGGACATTCTCTGTAAGGACCGCTTTCACGGAACATTAATAGTAGAGGCCAGCATTTGGCAGTGAACAATTTGCCTGAATGTAAAACGTGCTCTTAATATTTTACTTTGTGTCTCTCGCCTGCTATTCTATCTACACTTTGAATATTGAAATTTTACCTTTGAGATCACGGTAACATCTGCTTTCAATAAATAATGGGTGGAACTGGTGCTTCACATATTGTGCGGAGAGGGAGCTGGGGTGATGGGGTGAGAGCGAGTGATAGCAGCGCTGGCTCGCTTAGTCCAGGTTTCCTTCAGATATGTTTGTGGATTGGTCCCTATGGGAGCAATTACTGCTCTCTGTGGGAACCCGCAGCGCTGATTGCTGGAGACTCAGGATTAAATCTACTGAGCATCAGATTTTCCAACCAGAGGAGGTGGGGGAGCATCGCTGTTAGTTTTGTTTACCCTCCAGCATTTTGGAAGCCAAACTGGGGGTGACTGGGGAGACGACGCAGTGGGGGTAACATGAAAGAAGCTGAGACTGGATGGGCTGAATGGCCTGTTTCTGTGCTGTGTAATATCCTGTGATAAAAGGGCAACAATGCTGTAAATCACACTGCATTTGTCACTGCATTGTGAGCTTTTTGTGACGTCGCTGCTCTCCAGGGAAGGTTTGAGTTGAGTTAGCTTGCTGGGAGGAAGGAAGACCTGTCAGGGTAGGAAGGAGCGGCTCCACTTACCGCAGACGAAACCTGAGAGTTGTCTCTAGACACGTGACAGCTCTTGCCCGACTGCCTGCATCTTCTCTCCACTGCTTGTGTCTCGGGGGGCGCCTCAGCGCTAATATCGAGTCTCCATGAAGCATGTTTGCTGCCAGATCCCAGGACAAGAAAAAGCAGCTTAAGTATCGGATGAAAGGGAAAGGCATTTGCTGAGAAGAGCTTTCGTGGATGAGCAATAAAGAACATCTCTTTATCTGCTCCCGTTCACCCTCCGGAGCAAAGCAATAATTCCCAAGGCCGTCAAAAGCAACTGATTAAGTGGAATGTTTGAGGATATAAAAGCTTCAAATTCCAGTGCAAGCTTGGGTTTCAACTCAAAGCTTCATTTCATCTGAAGTTTTTCAGATTCTGTGTATAATGAGTAAAACCCAGTGAATTCCCATTGCTGTGTGTGTACATTATATACAGTATTGTCTTATATCACTGTGCACACAGTCACTCCACTTTACAGTGAATCCAATGAAAAGCTTTGAGATGTCATCCTGACATGAAAGACACTGGAGCAAATGTAACGATTGTTATTATGTCTCATTGCCGGTTGGGGTTTCATTGGGAGGGGAGTGCCTCTCTCCCTTCGGGGAGGGTTTATGTGGTGGGTGGGGCCGGGGTATATTACTCACTGGTGTGCAGGCTCATAGAGACAGTGAGCCCTAGAGTTTGTTGGGGTCAGAAGCAGCCTCCATGTCCTGGGCAAGGTGTTGTGTGGTGCTGCTGTGTAAAGTGCTCTGGTGAGCAGAGTGCATTAAACATTTAAAGCTCAATGCTGTGGTGCAAGTGATCAAGCCTTGCTCTAATTCAGGAGGAAACCATTTTGCAGAAATACATATGCCGATTACTTTAGCCAAGCAGTAAGATGTCAAAGGGCTCTAATGCAGTCAATATTCTGAGTGCACATGCAGTGAGTGTGGTTCACACAGCGCACTGGGGTTTCAGCACTCACACGAGCCATCTGGACTGGTAGTTTACAATCACTGAAGCACTGTCAGCGTCACACGCTGCCCCCTTGTGGTCACATTCGGCACTGCCTGCCAGTGGCCAAACACCAATGGGGCTATTATGTGAGTTGTGTAAGGTGTGTAAACCACATGTAAATGGAGGATATCTTGTATAGTGCCACACAATAATAATTCTTACATTAGATACCGAATCTTTTGGGTCGGGAGGACGTCTCAAAGCATTTCCCAGGATTTACAGTAAAATGCAGTGACAAATCTGTGCTCGAGTGAATAGGAAGGGATTTGGGCCATTGGGAATGTGTACAATGGGAGAATTCCTTTCCTCTTCACTCCCATTGGAGACAGTTAGTGGCTCCCTTGCCAACCCCCCCCCCAACCAAGATTTTTCCATTACTTTGTGGCTGGACTGTGAGTTTTATCATTGGCTTAAATACAAGGCTGAACCTTCTCTTTCCTGTAGCCTGTTCGAGCACTATTGCTACAAGCGTGGAGGGATGCGTCACACCTCCTACACCTGTATCTGCGGCAGGTAAGCAATGCTTTCTGATGGCCGGTGGGGGTGGGTGGCCGGGGTGTAGGGGGAAGCGGCGGATGGATGGTGGGGGAGTGATGGTGGGTGGTGGGGGAGAGGTGGGTGGGTGGTGGGGAGAGGTGGGTGGGTGGTGGGGAGAGGTGGGTGGGTGGTGGGGGAGAGGTGGGTGGGTGGTTGGACAGCGGTGGGTGGGTGGTGAGGGAGCGGTGGGTGGGTGGTGAGGGAGCGGTGGGTGGTGAGGGAACGGTGGGTGGTGAGGGAGCGGTGGGCGGGTGGTGGGGGAGCGGTGGGTGGGTGGTGGGGGAGAGGTGAGTGGGGGATGTGGGGAGCGATGGAAGTGCGTGGGGGTTTCATTGGTGGAGCTGAGTTAGTCTCCTTTTGGATTTCAGTGGGATCAACTCTGCGGTGTTGCATTACGGACATGCCAGCGCTCCAAATGACAAGACCATTTTGGATGGAGACCTGTGGTAAGTGGGGCTCGCTCCCATGGCCTCGCTGACACAGCCTGCCCTCCTGTACATCACTGGCTGTGCTTCAAGTGCCAGGCAATGAGTTGGCAGAGAGTTTTGTATGGCTTTATTTAGCACCTTTCACTTCGGGAGGACGCCCCAAGGGAGCTGAGCTCTGTGGAATGGGCCACTGTTCCTGGCCTGTTGCTGTGGATTTCTGCCCAGGAACCATGCTGTAGGGGGAGGGGGAAGCCCCTGTCCGGGGTAGGAGGTTGGGTATTGAGACATAAAATGGTTTCAGTTCCTCCAGTAACCACAAGGTGTCAGTGTGGTGATAACCCACAATGGCCTCACCACAGCTCTTTCTGAATCGGATTGATATTCACTCACTTTTTCACACTGAAAAGGGTGAAATGAAATGATGGCACAGAACTCACCAGTAACGTGGCTGTTGGTGGTGCACAGGCGCACATGTCTACCTGTGTATGTGTGTGTCTCCCTGTGGATGTGTGCACATGTGTCTGCCTGGGGGTTGTCAGGTGCTGACAGCATCACCATCCATGGTTGCACACTCCACCTTACTAAGCCAGTCCAGTGTCTTGGCAGCTTGTTTGACCCTCAACTATCCTTTCTACCCCACATCCGTGCAGTGACCCGTTCTGCTTTCCCCCACCTCACCCAGTTCCGCCACTGTCTCACACCGCAGGCCGTCAAGACCCTCATACACTCATTCATAACATCAAGACTCGACTACGCAAACTCCTTGCTTGTCGCCTCCCCAACTTTTCCTTCCATAGGCTGCAGATCATACAGAACTCTGCAGCCCATGTCCTCTCCCGCACCAGGCTCTGTGCCCCTATCACCCCCATCCTCACCTGATTACACTGGCTTCCCATCACACAGAAGATACAGTTCAAGATCGTGGTCCTCACCATGACCTTGCTCCCCCCTACCTCTGTGATCTCCTAACCCCCTACCATCCTGCTCGCTCCCTCCGCTCAACGGGCTCCAACCTGCTTCACGTCCCCTGCCTCGCTCACCCCACTATTGGCAGGCGGACCTTCTGCCACTCTGTCCCCGCCCTCTGGAACTCCATCCCGCAGGGCTTCCATCTCACTCCCCCACCTTGGGATGTCCTCCTGACATGAAAGACGATATACAAATGTAATTTTATTGTTGTTGCCTTTGTGTGTGTCTGCCTGTTTGCAAATCTGCTGTGTGTGTGTATGCCTGCATGTGTGCCGTCTGCCTGTGTGTGTGTATATATATATATATTGTGTGAGAGCTCAGTGCTGAGCGGGTAAATGATGATGTACCAATCTGTTTGTTCACTTTCAGCCTGTTTGACATGGGCGGGGAGTATTATTGCTACGGCTCTGACATCACCTGCACATTTCCCGCTAACGGCCAGTTCACCGCTGACCAGCGTGCCATCTACGAGGCGGTGCTGAGGTCATCGCGCGCTGTGATGCAAGCCGTGCGCCCTGGTAAGCAGGTCACCAAGGGCCACATCGTGTGAAGCTGAGCCTCCACACTCTTGTGCAGAAGTGATTGTGAGTTCAGGTGTACAAGCAAGTAAGTGTGTGGTTTCTAGTATACCCTTACTCCCACACTTATTCGCTTGCACGCACGTGTGTGTGAGCCTGTGCACAGTGTGTGTGTTACCATGCTTGCTGCGGGAAAGGCGAGCTAGCGATTGAGAATCCAGACTGAAGGTTAGTGTCTGTGACCTTGTGCTGGGCAGGGTAACGGGGTCAGCACTGGGCAGACGGCGCTGGCACTGGGGCCAATAGTGAGAGCAGGAGCGAGCAGACCTTGCTATCAGATTATTGTCTGTAACCTAATAGCCACAGCTCACTGTTTGCTCAGCTTATCAGGAAGCCTGGTGTACGTGTAAAATGGCCTCTGTACTGAAGGTCTCCCACCTCTCCTCCCCCCACCACGTACGCACATCAACATGGCTCCAACTAATCCTCCAAGCTAAAGCTCTCATGGGGTGAACCTTTGCTTAGGCAATAGGAATTGTGCCAGTGGTTTGTGAACGCTCGGGTGTCTCTGTGGCTTAGCTTTTGCCAGCGTGTGATTAAACTCTCTGGGATTGAGTTGAGCAGTGCCTCCGGGGAAAGCCCAGATAGACGGGAAATGTGCCGCTCTCAGTGCTTTGGTTTGGAGACACTTAAGCACGGTGTCAGACTCTAGCTGATCAAAAAAAATTCAGAGGAGGCTTCTGTTCTCCCTTCAATGAAACTAAACAGGTGCATATTTCCCGGTAGTTACTGGCAGCTCAGTGTGTGAGATAGGAACCACAGTGAGGAGGAGGACAGATAAGTTAGCTACAGCACAGGTTAGAGACAGTGTAATACTCCCTCTACACTGTGCGTCCACACTCCCAGGTCAGGGTTAGAGACACAGTAAAGCTCCCTCTACACTGTGCGTCCACACTCCCAGGTCAGGGTTAGAGACACAGTAAAGCTCCCTCTACACTGTCCGGCCACACTCCCAGGTCAGGGTTAGAGACACAGTAAAGCTCCCTCTACACTGTCCGGCCACACTCCCAGGTCAGCATGATGCACAACATGAGCTCTGTTCAGCAAACACACTTGGAGAGCTTGGCTTTTCTCCGCTAAGAATGAATATTTTCTGCCCTTCATTAAACAAACATTTGAATTTGGAGACTGGGAGTGTTTATAAATAGGACACAGCCTGCTCCAGTTCTGCTATGTGATTGAGTGGCTTCTGCTTGTGAGTTATTCGCTCAGCCTCGTTGGCTGAGTTATTTATGGCCGGCTGCTGGCCAGGATGTAAGCTGCAGATGAACACGTGTGGGGCTGGTGCCTGGGACCCAGCTCTGTCCTCGGTCGCGCAGAGTCTCTTGCTCACCGAAGACCTTCAGTAAGTGAGTGCTCAGCTTGCTGATTGGCTCAGGCCCCAGCTGGCAGCAGTGCGGAGCAGAGCAGACACATCATCAGCAGATTTGTGTGTGGACGGCTTCACCAGGGCCAGCGAGCAAAGTCCAAGGCCAGCGTAATGTAGCTTTGTATACTGTAGCTGTCACCAACATGTAATCAGTACACAAATTGGCTTTCCAGCATGATCGTGTGTGTGTGTAAAACTGACACGTTGTCAGAAGGACACGAGAGTTCACAAATTGAGACAATAGCCATAAGATGTAAGTTCCCCACAAGACTTTAAATATAAGGCTCTTGAACCAGAACAGCACATCTGGCTCCCCAGTCACTCGTGTTTCAGACATGTTTCACTCCCAACTTCCGGGGCCTCAGTCAGTCAGGAATGATCGGAATTCCAGTGGGGAAGAGAGGCACAGAGGCATCTTTCTGTACATTCCAATGTTTATTTGAATGAGGATGCATATTCTTTATAAAACCATTTCTTAGCGTAGCCCCAATCCTCTGTTTGTGTAGAATCAGTCGCTGACTGAAGGGGTTCAGCTCTGCATGGGCCTTTTTCATGCCTTGTTCACACAGACACGTCCCCTTGCGACAATGGGGCTGAGAGTAATGGAAAAGTGTAATGAAATTAACTATTAGAAACTGATTGAAAGATAGACTGTATGAGAATAAGGAGGGGTAGAGAGGTAGATCCTGTCTGAATAACCTGGTGGATTTTTTTTTGAGGCAATGACATTTTAACGACACTTCTCTTTGACCGAGCCTTCAGCTCCCCTCTCGACTCTCTTCCCCCTCCTCGCTCCCTCCCTTCCCTCCCCCTGACCATTTCCTCGCTCCCTCCCTTCCCTCACCCTGACCATTTCCCCCCTGCTCGGGTCATGACCCAACTGTGCAGCGCCTTGGGACGTCCTCCTGACGTGAAAGGCGCTTTATAAATGGAATCTTGTTGTTGTTGTTGTTTAAGTGCTTTGAGATGGTTTGAGATGATTCAATGCTGTAGGTGTTGTATCAAATAATCAAATGCAGTTTGACTGAGAAACCATTTGAGAATGTACCTAGACTCCCATAGCTCAGCATGAGAGACTCCTGTCAGTGAGACTTACAGGGTGAGACTTGACTGTGGATTAGTAACTGGCTCGAGGGAATACGCTATAGTAATTGTAAGAGGAATTAGGTTGAAATAGGAGGTGTTGTGTGTGTAGAGGTGGGAAGGGGGGCTCTGGATCAAAATTTCCTGTTTCTAGCTCCTAAATGACTTGGATTTGCAGGACTTGGGCAGTTGACACTTGTCCACTCAAGGCACCTTCACAACGATCAATAATTAACCCTTGAGTTTATTATTATGCCTCATAGTGTCAAAACGTCTCAAAGTGCTTGATAGGAATTACAGTAAAGTGTCGTGAGTGTAGTTGAACTCAACAGCCATGAAGTGAAAGAGCGATTTACTTGTAGGATTGTTGTCCAGGGTACTGAGTGGCACTGATCCCAGGGCGGGCATCACAGACCCTGAGCTGGGGCAGGGACCGGGGCAAGCCTAGTTAACAGCATATTTAGTGATCAGTCCTGTATGTACTGAAGCACGTCTCCTGGGGGGTGTATGGGTTATATTTTAACAACCAGCCCACCAATAAAGCACCCACAAGGTCAGCTCACCGCTCCCAGACGACGGAAGCAGATATGTGGGGTTACTGTGTAACTGAAGTATTTATCATTGGTGATAGTGTTAGAGGCACAGTTGCCAGTATAATTCACAACCTGCAATGAGTGCCTCGTAGGCCAGACACTGGTCGCTGGGGCAGTCACAGACATTTGGTGAGGGCTGATAGTTACACTGAACAGAATGGATATAAGCCAACAGTAACATTGGTAGAGCTGGCTAGCCTGGGCCTTGGGGTTCTTTGTGCTATTTATTTTGGGGGAGGAGGGATGGAATTAATTTTCTTTGATAGCCTCACCCATCAGCTGGAATTATTCATAAACTACACTGTTCTTTTCTTTGTTTCCCACTTATACCGGGCTGCTGTTAAGACTGCCGTTGACCTGAGGTGTTGAGCTCTGTGAGACCAGTTTGGCTGTACCTTTGCCTACCTGATCCGAAGGAGAGGAAGGACAGGTTTGGAGAATCACATTCATGTGATCAAAACAAGATGGAGGCATTGCAGGGACAGCCTGCTCCTGGCTCACATTCCAAAACCAGGCCGGGCCTCCTGCAAATACACAGCCCTGTGAAGCTCCTTCCACATCACCCAGAGAATTAATGACATAAAGTCCATCAAATCCAGCTCTCAGCATATGGATTTCTCTGTAAACTGGACATGAGATTTAAATAGTTTTCTTGTAATGTTGTTTGTGATGAAGTGATGAATGCCAGCACTTTGGGACGTCCTCCCAACGTGAAAGGCGCTCTATAAATATAATTTTGTTGTTGTTGTTCACCCTTCAGGGTCCAAGGCCTCTCTCTGCCAACCTTACCCTTGGAAAGCTGCAGCTTTCCAGCGCTCAGAGTAGAATGTAGACTTGGTTCATATTGTATTTTTAAAGCTATTGGCTTTTGTGCTTCACCCTAGAACATTGTGAATCTAGGGCAGGAATTCTCTCCCATTGTATCTCAATGGGAACCAGCTCCCACCCCACCTCTAATGTGGTTGAGTTGAATTTTGAATTAAGGAATTTCCAGCAAAACCTGTATAACCAGTGAAGTGATGAATCTAGTTTGAGTCCCGCTATCTCTACCTCTTTCTGGTGGTTGTTAGTGCTGGTAGCTAGAGCTACAGTGTTAGGCTAAACACCCACATTGCTGCCAATCAGCTCTGCCTCAGCTTTAAACCCTTCCAGTAACAGCAACCGGAGGAGGCCATTCAGCCCATTAAAATGGTTCTGCCGGTTTATCAGATTGTGACAAATCTTTTAATCCCATTTTCTCATCTTTATTCCCATATCCCTTAATCCATTTTACTTCCCAAATATCAGTCTCTCTTCATTTTAAACATGCTAATTGATTGTGCCAATATGACCCAGTGCGTTCCCCCTGTATGTGAAGAAAGCCCCATTCCCAGTCCTCTGCTCCCCAGCAGTTATGAAATGAGCTGTGATAGTTGCTGTGAGCAGTGTGAAGAATGTCCTGTCTGTGACAGTGTGTGTATGTGTGTGCACGCCAGCACACAGCATTGTGCTCTTCATTGAACTATTCCTCTCACTAAATATTTACATTCTAGACATTTGACGTCTGTGGTGCCTCGACCCTGTGCAATAGCGTATCTGATATCAGCCGCTTGCTGTGTCCAAGGGGCCGGCTGCTGACTTTCATATCTTTCCTTTCTCCCTGAAATTTGTCTTAAGTGAAGCTCACTATTTCTATTATTCAACTAAAAACACTGAATTAAGTCTTTGTAAAGTACGTGTGAAATAATCACTCAACCCAGAGGAGCCTCTCCCGTAGAGAAAGAGTTTTCATTGATCTTTATTGATCTGCCCATCACTAGCAATCAGAGCATTGAACCATAAGCAATCAGGAGAGATGGGATTCTTGTTGCTATCCAAGTCTGTCCAGCACCAGGTGGGAGCTGGGGTGAGAGCTGGCACTAATGTGTGACACTGGGAGCCGTACTGTGAGGCTTTCTGGGAGTTGACTCCTCGCTGGGGTTTTGAGTCCGTAGGAGCGGGAGGGAAGGGGGAATGTAACTGTGGAGACTTTGCCTTGAACTGTGCTTTGTAACAAGAATTATTTCTAACTTTTTGTTCAAATTCCTGACCTGACCTTTGCTTGTGTTGTGCCAAGGGGTGGCCTGGCCTGACATGCATCGCCTGGCTGACAGAGTTCATCTGGAGGAGCTGACAAAGATTGGTATCCTGCAGGGCAGTGTGGAGAACATGATGAAAGTTCACCTGGGCGCAGTGTTCATGCCCCATGGCCTGGGCCACTTCTTGGGATGTGATGTTCACGATGTGGGCGGATACCCTGAGGTGAGTCAGGGTCAAACAGGGAAACTCCCAGCTTTCACTTCACCCTCTGCCCCTCGCGCTCTGGGCCCTTTACCCCTGCAACAGGCAGCGAACAGACATATCAGCACATCATCCCTCACACACACTTGCACACACTCGGGCAAAACTAGAATGGTGGGCCTCTGCTACCTTTTAGACAGGACTTGTTTGTGGGCGGTGATGAGAGACCCCATGTCTCGCTCTGCTCTGTGTATGTCTCACAGTTCAGTGTGTGCGTGTCTCTCGCAGCTCAGAGGGAGTCTGGGATCAGGTGATTCTGAGCCACTCACTGACTTAGGGCCAAACTGATGTGTCTGTTAACAAGTGACCCGACCACAGACCATATTCTTTCTCTATTGAAACCCAGCAGCGTTATAAAAGCTAGTTGAGAATCTTGGTTTAGTTACAGCCCCCCCCTTAGTTAGGTCACAATGACCTCACACATACATGTATTTTCTTGCTCTGGGCTATTCTGCAGTCAGCCTCCCCCCCCCCCACACCCCCCCAAGGAAATTGGGACCCGAGGCCTGCTTTTGTACTCAGAATCTGATGCTGCCTCAGGTCTGGATTGAGTCCGTCCAAAGGATTCGAACACCAGGTCCGCACACAGAGGCAATCTCAGCCCCAATGCCTGTGCTGTGTTTGAGTCCAGGTCACACAGGTGCAAGGACAGTGTGTGCCTCTTGCTCAGCACATCCCACGCCCAGGATTCCACACACAGTTATTCAGACTTTGGATCCAGCTGCTATTTGTGAGGGAATATTGGTAACCTGGTTTCTGCCCCGTTAGCTGTTTGGCTTCATCTCTTCGCAGGACTCACTCCAGGTTATATGCACATTTATCCTTTTATCTCTCAATTGCACATTCTATACATACCACCTGATTTACTCTCTGCCTCTTGGGACAGATAATACCACATTACACCCTTGGGCCCAATCCTCTCCTCGGATCATGCCCCCACCCCCGCGCAGAGCGTGCTTGCCCCCTTGTATGAGGTGATGGTTGTGACGTGGGTCCTGTGCTCAGGGTGTGGATCGCATTGAGGAGCCGGGGCTGCGGAGCCTGCGTACAGCCCGGGTCCTGCTAGAGGGGATGGTGCTGACCATAGAGCCTGGCATCTACTTCATCCAACACTTACTGGACCCGGCGCTGGCTGACCCCGCCCAGGCCTGCTTCATCAACGCAGACATCCTCGGCCGCTTCAGAGGCTTCGGCGGGGTGAGTGAGTCACAACCTGCGCTGAGACGCTGCTCTATAATAATAATAATCCTGTATTTGATATAGAACTTTGCTGCTGTTATGCTGTTGTACCAATATGTTGGGAGTCTCGCCATCAACAGCACCTTTTAATACTGAAACTTGTGAAGAAAAGTACAAGATGCTCCAGTAAATCTGCGGGGAGGGTACAGTGCATGTCACTGTGTAGCCTGAGTTTCTTACTGTCCTGTACAGTGGAGAGGGCAGGAGAGACCTGTCCATTAAGTGCAAATGCCCTGTGTTCTGCTGCTGCCTCATTTACTTAGATAGGAGTTTATTGAACATTTTGTGACTTGTTACAGTTCTCTGATAAGATAGTGATTCATAAAAGCAGAGCCTGAGGTGTGTAATATATCACCTATTGATTTAGGTTTGGCTCAGACAGATCACCAACAGCAGTTGGGGTTAACCCCTTCCTGCCCACCCCAACGTATGAAAACTGCGAAATGTGATAATCACTGGAACATTCTGCTTCTGGTGATGCCCCAGTCTATAACATAATCAAATGCAAGGATTATTATTATTAAAGTCTAGTGAGGCTGATAATCTGCAGGACTTCAGTAAGTGGTTTTGAATCCATGTTGTGAATAGAAGCATGTCACCAGGAGTGGAGTGGTTCACGATGTGATGATCATATCACACATCGCATTATTCACCCTGATTCTTAAGCCAAGTCTGTGTTTGGTTGTTTGAGGATTTTTCCCTTACACCAGGTGCGAATTGAGGATGACATCGCAGTGACCACCAATGGCATGGAGCTGCTGACCTGTGTCCCGCGGAGCGTGGAGGAGGTGGAGGCGCTGATGGCAGAGGGCGCTGGCTCAGCCAAATCCTTTGAACCCTTGGACAGTCAGTAGTTCCCAGGCCGACAAGTGCCTGAGCACGTTACCTGACTGTGCTGTCACAATGTCATGTCCGTCCATGATTCAAAGCATGGAATTCAAATCAAGCTTCACGCTTGTGTGTGTGTGTGAGGCTCACACGTGTTAATCTATCAAATTGATGATATTAACATTAATGATATAAAATCCAAGAGAACGAATCAAACAACACAAGGATACTGAGCTCCAAGACCCTCACTGGTGAGAAAGGTGTGAATTCACACTGAGATTTGGGGGAGAGGCAGTACATGGAGAGGGATAGCCAGGCCTGCACGCCCAGTGCTAGCCCCCCCCGTCCCCCCCACACCCCGGGGGGCCAGGAAACACGAGGATCAGCTAAAAGCAGCTTCCCAATTTCAGCTCCTGGGCCCAACTACCTCATCTGCCTCGCTTTCCCACCACAAGAAATATTTCCACAAATTATGTTGCAAGAATCTATTTTTAAAATCACATAAATTCTCTTTTGTATCTGCTTCATCTAATAAAACCTGACTATCTGCAACTTTGGCTTGGTGGTTTGAGCTAGAGCAGATTGTTCTGCTGGAGGCACAGCCTGTCACTGCCACTCACTGTCTGTGTCAGTGCCACACCTTCACTATGGCACTGGCTGTGCTGTTGTTGGCAAGGGCTGTATTGTATTACAGTCACTGCCCTTTCCTGCCAAGTGAGGAAGCATAGACAAAGGGCAGCATTTTAACTGTGTGGCACTCAATCAGGTCCCTCCCCTCAAGACTGAACCTTATCTGAGGGCAGGAGTGTGAGGGTCCAGTGTGGCTTGTGACCAGGGTTCTTATCTAACTCAAAACCTTCTGCCTCTCGAGGTTTAGTCTTTAGAACTGATGAGGTTTCTGATTTTATTGCAGTTAATGTGTCCCGGAGTATTTGGGGGTACGTAATCTGTAACTACGGTTATTTGAGGTGAAAGCAGTGGCCCCTCAGCGCTCCACCTCACCGTTCACCCTCCACTGTCTGTGTAATCTGTGTAAGTGAAGTCTCAGAGCCATGTAGGTGATATGTATGGTTCAGATCCTCCTATTAGCTTGGCTGTGTGAAATAGTGAAACTATTGAACATGAAGTGCTGGCCATACAGTGAAGTGATTGTGGAAGCTGAGCATTTGGGAATAGGTGACTTTCTGGCACTTGCTGTTAGGGTAAGTGACAGCCTTTCCTGGGCTCAGATAGAAGAGCAAAGCTGAGAAATCTCTAGCTGATCAAAGCCTGTCCCGCCTATTGGTGTGTTGGATGATCTTGACATCTCTAGCCAGCAGGGAGAAAGGCCAGGAATTTGGGGTCCCCAGAAAGAAGTAAAAGTAGGATGGGATTGGAGTGAGTGGAGGCGGCTGTAAAGGAATGTTGGTGTGTCCTGACTTGCTGGAGTACTGATGGGTAAACAGCTCAGCTACTGATGCCTGCCCCGCACTCTGAATGCAGGGATGGTTAAGATCGTACTCTATCTCAGCCTTGGCTGCGGTTTGTGTGAATTTCCTTACGAATTCTTGAAGTACAGAATGCAGTCTGAGTGGGTGAAACTGCTTCTTTTCCATGTTATTATCTGGATGGCAGGTCCCACAAGTCTGCTGCTGTCCCGAGTCATATTCACACAGAAACACTCCTTAAAAGAATTAACATTTTAATCTCCAGGCTTATGGCAGGAAAGACTGCAGCTATTTGCACAGCAAGGAGCGTACAGCACACAACACAAGACTGTAAAGAGAATTAAATTGTTCGCATTTCAGTATTAATCTCTTATTATTAAAAAGGTTCTGTCCTGCCCTCACAGGTGACTCCTAACGTGGAGGCATTCACACAATCAAGTAAGTGCTTAGGCAATGGATGATATTTAGAACAACCCATGAAAGGAGCCCATTCTAATTTACGGGGGTGGAGAAGCCGACTTTAATAAATACATTTATATCGTTTGTAGTATTGCCCATACTCATGCAAGCCTGTCTGTAGTGATAGGTCTTGCAGACTAGAGACCAGGGAGCAAAACTGGGTCATGGCAACAATCTCCTGTACCTGTCACTATGGCTCTTGGCTGCTCTCCTGAAGGCTAACACTTCCTCGTGGGAAGGCTCGAGTGAAGGTTGGAGAGAAACTGACCAAATTAATGCCTCCAAGTCTTTATTGCTGCATGTTGCCCATGAATGCCCTTGCCAATGCCTCTACTCAGCTAATGCCCCTCTATTCGGCCTGACCGCTGAATGCCTCGGGTCGCCTCAAACTCCTCAAGGTAAGAAAGTCATTGGTTACCTCCCTGTGCACAGGGCTGGGAAGGAAAGGCCATTACCCCAGTTTAGTGTCATTAAGAATCGCAAATTCCCAGTTTACACAGTGAGATGCTCCTTCCCCAGATATCACTGCTGCCCCTGAACCTTCACCACACTTTGGGTAAGATGTGCAACACTCTCTAGGTTTCTCAAACTGGAAATGGAATACTCACTAAGCAAAAACAAGATTTTCCCCTTTTAAAAAGTAACAAAAGGACATTTACAGAGTTTCTCCCAATATCAGAGAAATTAAAACAAACACTTAAACATGAAGCAACACATTTCTCGCCAGTTAATCCTCCCTCCCACCATTCTTATACATACATTACCTTATTCTAAACATTAAACAACTCTCTCGATCATGGCTAATAAAGGGCACTTGTTTACAAAATCCAACTCTACAAAATGATCTTGGTGTCCACCTTTCATTCCAGCACAAATATCAGCGCATGTTACAGCATTTTAACCCTTTAAGTCTCTGATAGCAAGCTATCCTCCAGTTTTCTCACTGAAACCCTTGCTCTGTGGGTCTCCTGTTGAGGAGCGTGCACTGCTTAACAACCAGACAATCTGAGTGCACAATGATGCTAGTTCAATGCACTATATACAGGTAAATGATCAGCACCAAAGTTCATCGAATTTCCAGGCTCGTCTTTAGCCTCTGCTGCTATTACCACAGCGAAGACCATGACGGTAGGGTTGTGATGACACCACATGCTCAGTACCTCTAGCTCTTCATATACGTAAAATGTCCCTTTTCCGTAAGCAATTTGTCTAAGTGGAGTTAATGTAAAAACGGCAGAGGCTTGGAATGCCTCCAGTCAATGACCATTTCAAGCCTCCAGACTAAATTATAAAAGACAGCATATAAAAGGCCATCACACCCAGAACATCCCACATACAGATTGCCACATAGTGTTTAATGAGCACGCAAGGGACGAGATGGATTGCTATTGTGCCAACACTGAGCCCTGTTTACTTGAAGCTGCTCTCTGCAACAAAGACAGAACCATGTGCAGACTCACAGTGGAAGCAGCACCCCCCCAGCCCACGCCCCGAGAAAGCTTTAAAAATAGTGTGAAATTACTAAACATTATTTCTTGTTAAAAATGTTCTGAAACAGCTGACACACACAAGCTCACAAGCACACACTCAGCCCTACAAACACACAGGACAATGTGAGTTGATCTCAAAGAGTTGCAATAAGTGAATGATTTCTTGCTGCTACAGGACCTGACCCCTGCAGAACAGACACAGCCAGGGGTAAGGGAAGTGAACAGGAAGCTCGCTGCTCCTGGCATAGCCCGGAGCTCAGGGTGTACATCCAGAGTATTAAACTTTGGGTTTTTAATGGAGATACTTACAAGGTCTGAGAGCGCCAAGCCAACTAGTTATTTCCCTAGCTTCTTGCACTGTTACTGCAGCAATTCTGCCGTTTCTGAAAGAATGAATTTTGGCCCAACGTTAGGATAATAAACATATTGAGGGATATCTGGTAGCCAGAGGGTAACGCACTACGCCTGGGCTGGCTTGAGCCTTCAATTCCAAATGTCAGAACATGGCCTGTGCCATGGCACATGCCAGCATCTCCCCTGCCCTAAGGCACAGCTTTGGAATTGAACACTATTAGTGGCGACATTGCAAAGTTAGTTATTTCTACCATTAACTGGGCAAAGACAATGATGACTCGATAACCAACCCGACATCAGAATGCCTGCCACATAGCTGCTAAACAGTCATAGGGGGCTAATGTCAGCCTGGCGCAGTGGGAGTGCATTCATGTGCGTTCAAGTCCCACACCAGGACTTGCAATCACATAATCTAAGATGATACTCCAATGCTGGGGATGTACTGCATTTTCGGAGGTGAATTCCTTCGAATGAGACGTTAAACCAAGGTCCTGTTTGCCTGTTCAGGTGGACGTTAAAGATCTGATGTTACTATTCAAAAAGAGAAGGGAATTTCCCAGTGTCCTGGCCAACAATCTCACAAAGAAAATTAGTCACTCACTTCACAGCTGTTTTGGGACACTGTCGTACACAAACTTACTGTTGTGTTTTGCCCACAAAGCACAGAGTCTAAACCACTTTAAAGTATATCCTGTGAAGCACTTTGAGAGGTCTCAGTGCTGTGATAAGGGTCTATATCAAATGTAAAACTGTGTTTGGTGCTGTCACATCATGCACAATGCATTACATTTTGCTGAAAGTGTTCAGTGCTGCCACGTCATGTACCCTACACAATGCATTATGTAGGTGACATGTCTTTAACCATCGTCTGTCACTGATGGCCAGCACAAAGCATTTCATTCCGAGATCCACTCCCACCTTAGCACTCAAAATATTTCAATTCTTTCACAACTACACATAAAAAATATTAAATTAAATTAAGGAATAGACAATTTAAAAGCAAAAACCCTTTCTGCAAAAGTTTTTCTCCTCAACATTAGATGCTGGTGCATTCGTCACCTTTTACCCCATCCCCCACACCTTGTCCTTGCTATGTTACTGCCCCATGTTACTGGGTTCGTGCCCAGCGTTGCGGCTTTCAGTGAATCCGTGTGCATGTTCCAGAAATAAGTCCTTCAGGACGCTCAGCTCTTTACTCAGCAGTTTGATTTTTGCTTCCAATCGTTCATTCTCTTCCTTCAGCTCGGTGACTCTCTGCTGTGTGTCCTGGGCTTTCTGCTTGCTCTTTAAGCGGCTCTTCCTGACCGCCAGGTTGTTACGTTCACGGCGCTGTCGGTACTCGACACTCTCCTTGCTGGACCCCTCCTGTTTCTTGGGTTGTTTGCTGGGAGCCATGGCTTTGCCTCTGCTCGAGGAGGTGACCGGCACGAGCTGCGAGGGGACCTGCCCCCCACTGCTGAGATGCTGCGCCTCCGCACTCACTCCATTCGACTCCAAATTCTTTCTGGGTTGAGTACAGATGACAGACTGCTTGCTCATTGAGATTCACAACCCCTTGTACTCTGGATTCTTGTCGCAAAGCACAGCAAACCAGAAATAGCACGTGTGACAAAGGTGTAAAGAAGCTCAGGAGGCGGTGAAATGCTGGCCCGTGCCACCTGGGAAGAGAGTCAGATAACAGGCGTGATTGTACAGGCAGCGCTCAGTGAGCAACATGCTGGCAAGCCTGACATGGGAAGAACTGCCCCTCAACAACAACAAGACAACATTTGTATAGTGCCTTTCACATCGGGAGGACTTGCCAAGGCGCTGGACAGAGTACAGCATTTCAGTCCCGAGCTGGGGTTGGGAGGTAAGGGAGGGGAGGGGAGGTGGCTGATGGCATGGTTGAAGAGGAGAGTCTTGAGGCGGGACTTGAAGGGGGCTAAGGAGGGGCGAGGCAGAGTGAATGGGGGATGGAATTCCAGAGGTTGGGGCAGAGTGGCTAAAGGCTCTCCCGCCAATGGTGGGGCGGGTGGGTCGGGGGACGTGGAGCAGCCAGAGCCGGCTGAGCGGAGGGAACGGGCGGGTTGATAGGGGTTAGGAGGTCGCAGAGATAGGGTGGGGCGAGGCCATGGAGGGCTTTGACGTGAGGACCAGGATCTTGAACTGGATCCTCTGAAGGATAGGGAGCCAGTGGAGTCGGGCAAGAGTGGGGAGATGGGTCATGGAGTTTGGTGCGGGAGAGGACACGGGCTGCAGAGTTCTGGATTATCTGCAGCCTGTGGAGGGAGGAGTTGGGAAGGCCGACAAGCAGGGCGTTTGCATAGTCCAACCTGAAGGTGATGAAGACATGAACAAGAGTTTCAGCGGCCTGAGGGATTAGGTAGTGGCGGAGTTGGGTGATGTTACGGAGGTGAGGGAAGGCAGAGCGGGTCATGGCTTGAATGTGGGGAGGAAAGACAGTTGAGGGTCAAACAAGACACCTAGGTTGCTGAATGGCTGGTGAGTTGTAGTGTGCAACCATGCAGGTTGATGTGCCAGAGCCTGAGGTGCTGAGGCGCTGGCGCGAGCCAACAGGAGGGCCTCAGTCTTGTTCACATTCAACTGTAGGAAATTTACCCTCATCCAGGACTTGATGTCCGACAGACAATCTGTCAGGACAGCAGTGGTCCTAGAGTTGAGGGTGGAGGCAGAAAGATAGAGTTGGGTGTCATCGGCATACATGTGGAAGTTGACTCCATGTCTGAGGATGATGTCACCAAGGGGGAACATGTAGATATTAAAGAGGAGAGGGCCAAGGACAGAGGCCTGGGGGACGCCAGATGTGACAGTGCGGGGGCTGGAGGAGAAACCGTTAGAGGCAACAAAGTGGAGATGGTGAGAGAGATAGGAATCGAACCAGGCAAGGGCAGATCTGTGAAGATTGAGTAAAACGGAGAGGCGGTGTATGAGGATGGAGTGTTCGATAGTGTTGAAAGCAGCAGAGGTCGAGGAGGACAAGGAGGCAGAGGGATCCCTGATCACATTCAGAATGTCATTAGTGACTTTGACCAGGGCTGTTTCCATGCTGTGGGCAGCGCGGAAGCCAGATTAGAGGGGTTCAAAGAGGGAATGGCGAGAGAGAAAGGAGCGGACCTGGGACGCGACGACTCGTTCCAGGACCTTGGAGAGGAATGGGAGATTAGAGATGGGGCGGCAGCTGGAGAGGAGGGATGGGTCCAGGAAAGGTTTTTCTCAAGCAGAGAAGCCAATAGAAAACTAACAACTCTGAATTCTGCTGGCAGTTAATAGTGGTATTGCCCAACATGAGATATCAGTAACACTCAGATAGGAAAGAGACCAGCCAATAAGTATCTCCTGTCACAGGGCCCATGTGTAAACAGCGGCTGAAGGGTTGCGAGAAGATATAAGAGCAGATTGGAGTAGGGGCTGAAGGTTGGGAATCATTGGTAGTGGTATTGGAATTAGTATGACAGATACATTCAATTATCATTTAAAATAAAAAGATAAGCCAATTGTTTCAGAGAAAGGTAAAGCAAGCGAAAAAGAAGGAATGAAAGGTGTGGGACTCTTAAAAGAACCACGATGGGCTGAATGGCCTTCTGTGCTGTAAACTTCCATGGTTTTACAAAAAAATATTGACAGACTGTTCAATCACCAAGCTCAATCCTGTTTTCAACAGCTCTCTTGGGGCAGGTATATACTGCCCACAGTTCCCCGTCTCACGAAACCGCTAAGATCTCGAAACGA